TAGAAAGAAGTGCTAACAAATTTTGATTGAGTCTCACATTGATTTTTTCTATAATAAGAACACATTGCATATGGTACATGAAATATATCTAATTTTAATTTTTAGCCTTGACCAATATGATTATGAAATCCAGTTCCAGAACATATCATAGTTATGCCTGTTTGCACTCAGAATCTATATAAAGGTTCTATGTATGTATATATGTATGCATTATTGTTATTCCAGTCAGTCGTGTCTAATTCTCGGAAAGTACCTGGGCAAGTCAGACAAGTTCCTGCAATTTTCTTGGCAAGATTTTTCAGAAATAGTTATCAATTACCTCCTGCCTTGGGCTGAGAGAAAGTTGACTGGCCAATGGCCATCCAACTAGTTTTATGCTTAAACTGGACTAGGACTCATGGTCTCGTGATTTCTAATTTGGTGCCTTAACCACTACACTAAACTGACTCTCAATTTATAAATTATACCATGTTTATATCATGTGAAGAATATTTAGTACCCAAATATATATTTTATGTGAAGAATATTAAGTACAGCCCACCCACCCCAGTTTTCTCTCTGTCGGTTAAAAATGGAATTCTGTTGCTTGTAGGCCTGATAAAATGTATTCATAAGTAGTAGATTAAATTTGGGTTTTTTGCATTGTTATTTTGGCATCTGTCTTTACCAGAATTCTCTTCTGCTTGTGTAGAGGGTCACCTAATGACTCAATGAGTATGGAAACAGGTTGGGAAAGAAGGTATTGAAAGAAATAAGTTTAAAGTATTATGACTTTTTTATTTTATAGTGTAATTTATGGCATTCTTTCTGGGCAAATATCTAGCAATCCTAAATTTAGTTCAGTAGATCCAGTGTTCAAGGAATTTGTTCCGTTTGCAGTTTTTTATGGGCATATTCTTCACTTCATTGAAGCTGTTCATAATACTCCAGTAGCATTAGAAATAGGACATTTGCCATGGAGACTATTATTTGTGTGTCTGTTTTACCCAGCTTTTCAGACAAAAACAAAGAGTTGTAAGACTAGAAATAGAGAACTATCCTTGTCCTGAGGCTCCTGAGGCCTGGAAAAAACAGGACATAAAAAGGGAGGAAGGGACAGAAAGAGAGGAAAAAGCACACCAGATCTTAGTTTTTGTAATCAAAGAAATAAATTGAAATAAAGATCCATTTAATGCAGTTTGGGCATGTCTTTTCTAACAAATGCAGATATTGTTTAAACAGAGCTTTTTTCCATTTGAAATACTATACATCTTGCTTATTTGTTTTATGGAAGTAGATATAGTCTTTTCCATTTAATGTCAAAATTATTGCATGACAGTTTATATTACTATTCACATTTGGAAACATTTATGGTAGATTCATTCTGCGTTCCTTTCTCAATGTCTTTGTGATTTTAAAACATCAGGCAACTTGACATTTTAAATTTTAAAATGTACACAAAATATTTTTTAAAAATTATTTCCTCAGCAACTTTGGAAGCATTATGCATTGATTATATGCTTTCTGATAAAATCTCAATAATACTTTACCTTCAGGAGATTTGCTTTATATTTTTAAACTCATCACACCTTGTGATAAAAACTGTGATCAACTATGCAAATATACGATCAGATATAGTAGCCTGCTTTTATGCAAAATTATAAGTTGATATGTGTGGGTGGATTTGTTTATTTTAATTGCTACTTAATGTATATGTTTTGTTTAATGACTGAATTTCTATAGCTGGAATAAATGATGATAGGGTATTATATTCTTCATCCTGGACAGAGCCTATTTGTGTGGTGATTGTGAATTGACTGATTTAATGGCACATAACCATTCAGTTAGTACTGTATTAAGTTTCTCTGAGTTGTTTTTTGAATAATTGGAGGGAAATAATTATCTCATGGGATTTCTGGAAGCATCTGTGTGAAATGAGATACTGGATTCATAGGTATTGCTTAGCAGAACTGCTGGTAGGTATTATTAGTATCATTCTTTGTTATTAAGCTTCCTAGTAGAGATATCCTTCTAAAAGCATGTTATGCTAACTTATAGAAAATTTATTACAAGTCTACACATTCCTTACTATTAGAGTGATATATCACTTATAGAGCTTGTAGTACAGAGTATCTGTAGCTGAAACAACGGCTACAATTTTGGCAAATTTTTGAATTATACAGATATAGGAAATAAGTTGGAGGAGGGCCTTTATTTTTTTTTAAAAGGGTCAAATAAACTTTTATCTTAAAAGCCATTTTACTCTGCATGTTGTCCAAATCACAAATTTAAGATACATCATATAGCTGATCATAATTACATTACCACCTCAGTCCCATAAATGTTTACAACAGATAAAAAGGAAGGCATCTGAAGAAATGTTACTTAAAATTATTGATAGTTACAAGATTTTTATAAACAATGTTTAAAATCTGAATTAAAAGCTGAAATGATTGAAAAGATGTTGAGGGCTGTATCTATTTTCTCTCTGATAAATCAATGTTTTGGTGTGGTCATGATCATAGCAGCCATTTTGAATTCCCACAATTTGTTCTCAAATATGTTAATGTGATTCTAGAACAATACTTGTAAAGATATCCTATACAACTTTTCATTGGACAGATGATTTAACTATGTGCGAACCTTAAAAAAATGTATTCCTAAATGTAATTCTATGATGCCCAGGCAGCTAAAAGGAAAAAATGTAATTTCTTGATCATAGTTGGGAGAGAAAAACCGGTTGTAATATCATTTTCCAATGGATCATTTCTAACTTGATCTCCCATATATGGCTGTCATAGGTGATCCTTCTGGGATTGTACATTCGTAATAGTGTGGCTCATATGATCATTGGAATGCTGCAAGTTTATCACTGGTAATGAGCCACGAAGGGAGTAATCAGTATGCATATTGTATTTTGAGAAAATTGCTGATCTCTTTTTATTTTCCATCTGCTCAAAACAGAGCTTTTTTAGACCTACATTTTATATCAGTATGTTTAGGTGTCCCTAACTGTCTTTAACTTGTCAGTGCAGCTGAGTTATCAATAGCATAACACAAATTATGATTTGCAAATCAGTTTTAATTTCTGATGTAGTATACTAGTATAACAGAACTGTTTTCAATTTGAGGGTAGTATCATGATTAAGAAGTAGACTTGCACATATATCTGATCTTTATGTAAACTAATTATCTTCCTTTACATTATTTTTGATTGGTATCAATGCTTACTTAATATTACACACGCTTTACAGTGATTTTAAAATTCTACTGTTTATTTCATTAGTATCAGTTTTGGCACATGTTTAGTAAAGTGATGCTTTTGAATGCTATGGCACGCCCCCCCCCCCCAAACACACACACATTTTATGATATATTTGAGGATATTGGTGATTCTTAGAAGTAAACACTGCAACAGATACTTTATGCATTTGTTTCTACTTGAAATCCTGTAACTAATGCTGAAAGAGTTATAGCTGATAGATACTCTGTCATTTTTTTTCTTTTTCAGATTTTATACATTCAGGGGTTTTTATATTTTCAAACAAGCTTTCCTTTCATGCTTAAATGGATATTGAAAAGTTATTTACAAACAAATGGTCAAAACACATTTCAGAAGTTTTATTTTCATTCATGTTTCCCTGGATATGTTCTTTGTGTACTTATTTGACCTCCAAATTCTAACATTAACATATTAATGACTTTTCTAACTGTACTGCAATTGTTACCCAAATTCTGAGTGAAGTATACCTAACATAAAGATAGGTAGGTAGGTAGGTAGATACTGGCAGATACTGGTAGATAGATACCGGTAGATAGATACCAGTAGATATTAAGTAGAACTAAGCAACATGGTTAAGAAAAAAAGTTTGCATTGTATAAAATAGTTTCAAAATTTTTGAAAACTGCCCTGCACCATGTACTGTAATCATATCCAATGAAGGAAGGAAAGAAAGAATAGAGAACCTGCTTGAGCAAATCTGTAAAATTTACATGTTTAAAAAACCAAATCATTGTTTTGTCAGAATTGACATGATTTTATTTTTCTACGAATGCCAAATTTTTGGAGATTGTAAATGGCCTGTTAGAAGGATATAGACCTAAACATTCTTTTTAAAAATTAATTATAGAGAGGAATGTGGTTTGAGATGGTGAGATTGGAACCAGAGATGTAGAGGTCAGATAGAACTAATTAGACAGACAGACAGACACATTTAGCAGATTTATCCCAGTCTCAAAGCTAGGTTAAAAAAATGGCTGCAAGTCCATTAATTTGAAAAGGTGGGAGGAAAGGCTGAAGATTTAACCCTAGGGCTGGCCTATATAGAGAGCTGTTCATTACACAGATTTACTACATGTGACTTTATTCTTGTCTGCAGTAAAGCATCATATTTAATCATGTCAAGTCTGAAGTTTCTGTTGTTTGCTAGTTATAGAATGCAAGATTGAGTTTCCGGATAATATAGATACTGCCATGCTGTGTGAAGCCTGACAGCAAAAGTCAAACGGGGGTGGGGAATGACTTTTAATCTTTTTGTGAGTACTACCATTTTTGATGATGAAAGAGTAAGTTGAAAAAGATATAAATATAATAGATGTTCTAATACAAATATACATTTTGATTAAATTTAAATTCATGTGAAGGCTTTCCAAAAAGTGGCATATTTTTCTGTTCACATATTTTTATTTCGGTAGAGCTGTAGTGTTTTCTCTTATCCCCCGCATTGCAGTTAAATATTGGCTATATTTAAAATGTGAATGTGTTGGCAGAAAGTTTTATCTTAAACCAGGATAAATGCAAAAAATTTTGTAGCTTTGCTCCATTATTTGATTGATGTGATTTATATTTCACCTTTCTGTATTCCTACGCAGGATTTACTAAGGTAGCTAGATCAATGATCGGAGTTAACACAAGACAACATCCTGTACTTTTGTGTGACAGTTCTTATTTCCATCAAGATATTGTTATGCCTTAAAAAGCACTACCTTTCTTTTCTTTTTCTTCTTCTTCTTTTTTTTAGTGGCCAGTTTGCAATAGTAAGAAAATGCCGTGAGAAGACCACTGGGGCACAATATGCTGCAAAATTCATTAAAAAACGGAGAACAAAATCCAGTCGTCGAGGAGTGAGTCGCGAAGATATTGAACGAGAAGTAAACATATTAAAAGAAATCCAGCATCCCAATGTGATCACACTCCATGATGTCTATGAAAGTAAAATGGATGTAATTCTTATATTGGAACTGTAAGTAATGTTTAAGTTGTTTGAAATGACCATTTTGGAAATGAAGCTTTTGTATCAGTTTTGAAAATAAGGATTATCCCCTCTCCTCCCTCCTTCCCACTCCCAATAATTATCTTTGCATTGGGAGGTTCATTCTACATTTGTTCATAAGAATAGAATAAACAGTTGAAAATAAAAGGCATTTTTTTGCAGGGATCTTTGTCTTCATGTGCTGTAAAGCGTGAGTACCTTTGAAAATTAATCCTGAAGATTATCTGCTTGGAAAGACCTGAGCCTGTTGAATTTTAACTTTTAATAGTGCCTGTTTCTTTTTTGATCCATCTACCTTTTTCTCTCATTAGTATCCAGTTTTGTCCTCGCCTTTCCTTCCCCCCACCCTCCCGCCACCACTTCTGTTTTCTTCCTTTCCCTGCTTTTTATTTTTATTTCTTTCTCACCTGTTCTTATATAAAAGGGAATGAAACGTCTCTGATAGAGAAGTATGTGTGGAGGAGAATAGTTGGTATAAGCAGATGGGGACCAATTGTTTTTGTAAATAGCTTACCATATTTAAAGATCATTAATTTTAGTTAACAGTTAATATAGGGGCTTTTGTTTTGCATTTCTTTCTTCTGCAGACAAAAATGACAATACATGCTTTTGTGGAATAGCAGGAGTAGAATTTTCTAGATTTAGTATAGCTGGTATTGTCAATCCAGGGGAAGGATTGACAATATATCAAATAAATCAGTGAATTTCTGAAAACTGGGTTTCATTTTGAAGATCACTGCGCTCATTCTACCAAAGCAATGTTGGAAGCAATATTCCTTGCCTTAAATCAGCATCTTTTAAAATGCTGCAAATCATTTGCGGACTGTAAATTATGTTTGTGCTTTCTTTTTCTCAGCACAGGCAACTTGAGCTACAGCCACAGCCTGTTTTATTTCCCTTCCAGCTTGATTCTTTAAAATCCCTTCTTCCACTCTTAACTTTTCCTTTTCCTTAGTGTGAACTGCTTCTCCTTTCTTCATCCCCACTGTAATTCCTTCTGCAAGAGCAAAACCTCAAGTTCGTTAAAGTGCTGTTCTTGGCTGAGCAGCCTGAAAGCAAGACTCAGTGACATATTTTTCTTTTTCACAAACACGAGACCAGTTTTTTTCCACAGTATTCCCTTGTGCTTTTTGTTCATTCGCTGAACTATAAAAGCCTATCTGAGCAAAACAAGAGAGCCAGATATTCTTAAGGTCTGAATGGCATAAGGAAGCAACTTGTTCATTTCTGACATATACATTGGAAATGTACCTCATCAGTTTTCTTTTTCAAAATCTGCTGGAAACATAAAGCTATAATTCTTAGAACTATAACAGTTCTGTTATCATATGATGCAACAGTATGATGCTGTGGGATCAGGTTACCCATACTTAGCAGTATGTGGTGTTCTAATAAACAGAAATCAATTCTATTAAAGAATATCAATTAATAGTTTTGCAAATCTTCCAGTGAAGCGTTGCTGATAAATGAAGCACCCTGCTGGATCTGTTCCTTGAAGCTGCCACAGCCACTTGAAGCTTGCTATGTTGGTTTTGAGGACCTGCCAAGCTTTAGAGCACTTAATCGAATGATCTATACAGTTCTAGAGTAGAATAGAAAACGTTTAACTTGAACATTTGTTCCCACTAATGCATGTTCTTGTAATTATTGGCTAATTCTCAGCAGTTATGAACAAACTAGAAAATGTCATGTTACTTTTTAAAGAGTGAAGAACAAATGAATTAACATTACGTGAAAAAAATTCCAGTGCATTTAAGTATACAGTCAGAATATTCACACCTGTAGAGGGCATATCATCAGAAATAAGATTTTATGAGAGACTGACTGTCAGAAGTTTAACTTGACTGCCAGATTTTTAATATTGATGTTTTAAATATATTTATGCTGTTTTATTATTATTGCTTTAATTGCTGATTCGGAGCCATCCAGAGTTTCATATGAAATGGGTGGCTATAGAAATGTTTTAAATTTTGTTTAAAAAATTTAAACAAAAATAATTTTGTAAAATTTCTGTTGATAATGGGTGTTTGTTTTTTTTTAATTTTTAAGGATACTTCTAAGATTAAGTTGTTTGTTCTTTCTGTATTAGTTGTTAGCTTTTATAAATCTTGGCTACTCTCTTAACTTCAGAAGATTTGTCTGAAGTTGAAAGAACATTCTCCACTTAAGATGGATATTTAAAAAGGACATTCCATATGCTAATACAGGCAGGAGTTTTTGTTTTTAGTTTAGTTTAGAATACTTCTCATTCTCTTTTTAAGATTGAATGCTGTATGATTTATCATGTTTTCTTCTTGGAAAACAAATGGATGGGAGGGAGGGAGGGAGGGAGGGAGGGAGGGAGGAAGGAAGGAAGGAAGGAAGGAAGGAAGGAAGGAAGGAAGGAAGCAAGCCATCTTCCCATAAGAAAATTCAATGGGGAAGCTGGCAGGAAATCAGAAGTCATTCTCATTCCCAATGCTGACTCCTGGTCATGTTGTTTCTCTGTTTAGATAAAGAAATATCTTTGAAACGATGACCTAGTGGGACACGAGTTGTCTACTTTAAAATAGAAAAATCAGATCCTAGCTATTTATAAATGAAGGATAGCAATTCAAGATTGGTATTATAGTAGATATGAAAAGCAAGCTCTTCATGTCCAGGGTTAAAGAAATATTATGATTTTTTTTTTGTTGGATTTTAAATCTTTCCCTGCATTAGACCTCCAGTGATAGAAGGTATTATGCCAGTCTGAGAGCTTTCTTGGTTAGGAATTAATCCTCTTTTTTCCTTGCATGGAGAATTGGTTTGCACCTCCAAGCAACACTTTCAGATTGTTCTCTAGATTCCATTTAAATGGTGAACATGTAGTTGATAAAGCACGTCTTTTATAAATGACATCTATAATGTTCTTACATCCAATAGATAGAAGATAGCTTTAATACTTTACTTTACCAAGCAAGAAAAGGTTTTTAACATTTATCAAGCAAGAAAAAGTCTAGCAAATTTAAATCTTTCTATGAATAAATTATACAATGAGCTGATTTGCTAATATGAAAACCTATCATGTTAATCTAATCTTTGTTAATATTGCTGATTTTTCTGACTATTTTCAGTGAAAGTCCTTTTAATTTTGTTAAACCCACTGGGATTAAAAATCTCCATGGACAATTCTTTAGATAGTGCCTTAATTATTTAATTGGTTTATTAATAAAGGCATATAGTATGTTGGTGCTAATTCATTAAGAGAGATAATGCTGTTTTTCTACACTAATCTGTTTCACATTAAATGCTTAAGACCTATAATTATATCTTGTGGGATATAGTTTGTAATCCCAAAGGTTGGGTAACAGTTTGCTTGCTAAAAAAAAGAATTATTTTCTGGTATAATGTAATCCACTTTTCTTCCCAAAGAAAGAACGAAGCATCTTCTCGTTTGCTTTAACTGCTTTTATTTAATTGCCTTTATTTATGTGAGATCTTTAATTTAAAGATTAAAAACCTATTGGTTTTTAATCTTTATTTCATGTAAACTTACTATGGGCCTTCTGTGTTTCATTTATATAGAAAACTTAATAAGTATTTTGAGCCATTGCAATAAAATAAAGACATTTACCGTATTTTTTGGTCTATAAGATACACTCCCCCCCCCAAAAAAAGTGGGTGGAAATGTCTGTGCGTCTTATAGAGCGAAAGTTGCCGAAGCTCTGCCCGCCCTCCAGCCCCCACCTCCCAACAATTTGCCTCCTTGCAGCAAACAGTCTGGTCAGCTTCAGCACAGCCTGATTTAGCATGAGCAGCTGATTGGCGGTTGGATCAGCCTCCCAGAATACCACCAATCAACTGTTCCAGGCTGCTGGAATCACTGCCATCACCTATTGCCGCCTTCACGTGTCCCATTTTTGGTCGTTCACCACTGAACCGGCCGAAAACAGGACATGTGGAAGCCGAAAATGGGGCACACGGAGGCGGCGATCAGCAGCAACAATGGGTGATGACGGCAGTGATCGGCGGTGGCAATCCCTGCAGCCTGAAATAGCTGATCAGCGGTATTCCGGGAGGCTGATCCAACCACCAATCAGCTGCTCTTGCTAAATCAGGCTGTGCTGAAGCTGACCAGGCCTTTTGCTGTTTGCTGCAAGGAGGCAAATTGCTGGGAGGCAGAAGCAGATTTTTTTTCCTTGCTTTCCTTCCCAAAATCTAGGTACGTCTTATGGTCTGGAGCGTCTTATAGTGCGACAAATATGGTAAACTGTTTTATTAAAAATGCTTTTTTGGGTGTAATACATTGTAAACCATATGAACTTATTAACTTCAAGTGTTTTGCTCTGGATATCTTAATCATAACACTAAAATATGCTACTTTCTCTGTTATTCACCTTTTAATAATCAGTGTAAATAATTTCTTTTAAATACATCTATTTGTTGATACAAATTCTAAAATACATTTTAAACACAGATTATACATATTGGGCAAAACATTTATATTGATAAAATGTTAGAAATCTGAAGCCATGAATGGTTTCAAAACTTGTATTGAATGGATTCTTGCTTTGATGTGTAAATAATCACTATCAATACAGTGATTCATTTATTTTTCATTTGTAGTAAAAGAAAAGTTCTTACATTTTCAGTGGAGCTTGAATAAGACAGCCAAGGTGCTATAACTTAAAATAGCTCCTCCTTTTATGTTCAAATAACATGTTGCTATTATTTGTGGTGGGGGGGTAATATATCTATAGTATAGCATCCGAAGTCTCAGGATGTTGTGTCTCTTCTGCTGTGGTCTATCACTGGATAATATTTTGTTTTTGTGTAAAATTTATCTATAGGTCTGTAAACTCTATTGCAAATATTGGCAGAATAAACAATATAAAGTAATCATAAACTGACGGAAAAGCCTTGTGCGAAGAGGAGCTTATCACATATTTTTTTTTGAGCAATAATAAGCATAGAATATAATTGTACATGTTGTTTGAGACACTTGAAGATGTTTTCATATTCGAGTCTTAACAATTCATATAATCAATTGTTACTGGAAAAATATGATTGTATATACGCTATGAAGCATTAATTATGAAGGCTATATTGCATATTGAATTGTGGTTACCGATTCCATATTCTTTGTATCATCAATCATTCGGATTTTTGTGTCACAAGATAAGAGATGGTGTCTGTATAATGTGAATGCTTCTTAGCTAAGAAAACCTTCCCAGAAGCTGAAGTCAGAAGCATCTGATTAGACCTTTTAAAAACAGGATGATATCTATAAGATGGTTGTCCCTGTAAAGGTCTAGACTAGATTTACTGGCTAAAATCAGTAGAAATGGGAATTTGGCCTTTGTCATACATACTTGTTATTTCCAGATTGAATTACTTGATGTTTTTTGTACAACTGCTTTTGAAAACTGAACATTCCAATTGTTCAGCATGAAACAGCCAGATTGTTAACCGATCACAGAGAACATACTGTGCCTATTTTATGTAACTCTGACCAATCTACAGTTATTTTCCAGGCACAATTTAAAATACTGATATTCGTCTTTAAAGCCCAAGTGTTCTGGCACTACTGCACATGCCTATTTCCATATAAGCTTCCTCATATAATGACGTTCCATCCCGTGCTTCAACATTCATATACTAAGACAGCTACACAGATCTACCACCCGTCATAGCATACAACAGTGATGGCTAACCTTTTTGCCATCATGTGCCAAAAGCGGTGGGAATGCGGGGTGTGTGGGTCGTGCACGCGCATTCCCACACCCATAATTCTATGCACCCTGCCCTCCCCGTGCATGCGCATGACTTCCCCCCGCTTTTGGCATATGATGGCATGTGGGCCTGGTAGGCCTGTTTTTCGCCCTCCCCAGGCTCCAGAGGCTTTCTAGGAGCCTGGGGAGGGCGAAAACGGCCTTCCCCACTTCTCCAGAGGCCCTCTGGAGGCTGGAAACAGCCTGTTTCCCGACTTCTGGTAGGCCCAGAAGGCCCAAAAATCAGCTGGCCAGCGTGTATATGCACACCAGAGCTGAGCTCACATGCCCACCAATATGGCTCTGTGTGCCACTGTGGCATGCGTGCCATAGGTTCACCATAACGGGCATACAACAAAAGCTGGGTCAACAAATTATGTTATTTTATTTAAGAGAGATTCATCATCAAAGTATATAAGCATTGACTTATTAACTATATTTAATTAATTTAGTGTAATTTTAATATGTTAATATTACATCTTAGTATAGTTGATATTTTAATTAAATCAGAGGTTTGTTGCCTGTTGTTTGTATTGTGGTCTTTAGCATGACATCTATTCAGGAAGTTGGTCTCCTTAAAAAGTTTCATCCTTGGTCTAGGATGGTGGTTGTAAGAAGAGAGACCTTATGCAGTATTTCATTGCTAACTTGATAGAATGGAGAAATAAAATATTAATCAGAAAATATGCTAAAAAGTACCATAGATCTTTTTCATGCTGGCTAAAACTCAACACTATGAGAATGTGATAGATAGAATAGGAATAGGTATGTTTTCATTTCTGATTTTTTTTAAAGTGAAAACCAAAATATTTAATAGTTTTATCAATATGTATGTTCCATTCAAAGACTATCCAATAATATATAGAACATATGAAAGTGTGCTGTAATATTGAAAGAATCATTTAATTTCTATGACTTAGAACACATTTGAATACAAAGGAAAATAGATTTTACATCATAATTGGAGAATAACCATGTGTCATATTTTTCCTCCCACTCTATTTTTTAAACTAATGTTTTATTTTTAAGATATGACATTGCTGTTTATCTTTTGCAAAGATTTGCCAGTTCTGCTTTGTTTAAAAGTGATTTTGAACATGTTTTTGTAAATTAAATTTAAAACATGATTGCTAAAATAAAGTAGCATGAAAAATACTTAAAACATTTAACCAAAAGAATATTTCTGAGGGGGAGAAGTTTTTTAAAAGCCAAAAATCTTTATAAATCTTTATTAATGCTTTAATAAAGGCAACTTTAATTAAATATTTTAATAGTTTTCAAAATCTATTCATAATCTTTTAAAGCTTTTAAGAGTAGATATTTTTCTTCATAAAATGTGCAGAATCCTTCACATTTGTTTTGTTTTTTTAATGAAAAGTGTTCAAGTCATAATTAAAGCTCCTATTTTTTACAGCGTTGCAGGAGGTGAACTCTTTGACTTTTTAGCTGAAAAGGAATCTTTGACTGAAGAGGAGGCCACAGAATTTCTCAAGCAAATTCTTAATGGTGTTAAGTATCTGCACTCTCTGCAAATTGCACATTTTGATCTTAAGGTACATTGAACAAGCAGCTTTTTCAAACCTTGGAAATGCTACATAAAATACCCCTTACAATTTGGGTATCCAGAATAAATGCTAATGTAAAGTTTTGTTCCAGAAAACAAAAGATATTTTAAAGGTTCTTTATATGCCAAGACTATAGTAGATTGTAATGGAATAATAGAATAAAGTAGGATATAATAGATTACTGATTACATTTATGGAGCCATATCTTTATGAATATTCTATACACAGTATACATTGGGAAACTCTTATATATATGTCTGTATATAGTTGTACTTTGATATTTGTCCAGCTTCATTTTATTAGAGATAAAAAAAATCCAGATGGGATAAATGATGAAATGATTACTTACCCCTTTTGTATGTACACTGTTATAATGTCTACTGAAGAGATAAAAGTTGCATCACAACGGTGCAATACTACTATTGTCATTTTGATGAAAGCCTCAATCCTGCAGACACCTCTTGTCAAGAAAGGGCTACATTTACCCATAAGAATTTATCATTAAAAAAAAATAAAGTATGACTGTGGTTTGGAGTTGCTCACATACAATCAATATTTTTCCTTGAAGCCTGAAAACATAATGCTGCTGGATAGAAATGTACCAAAACCACACATCAAGATCATTGACTTTGGCTTAGCACACAAAATAGATTTCAGCAATGAGTTTAAGAATATTTTTGGGACACCTGAATTTGTTGGTAAGTATTACATTTCATTATTTTGCTACTATTAAAATTTCTCTGATAGTTTTAAGCAGACATATTCTTGATAGTCCACCTACTGACATATTTGTTTAATGTAGTCCTGTTTTTGTCCTTTGCTTTCTGTACTGAGATTAAAGATGGGTGATTGGAGACAGAGTTCAACATTTAAAAGGAAAAGCCAAAAAAGGACCATTAATTTATAAAAATCATCTTTTCACTTTAAAATCCTTTTTGGCTACTAGATGTATTACTTACACCCTGATTCCCAAAATCTCCTTGGACACTTATTCTAACTATCTGCCGTATATGACTGAGGAAGATAATAGAATTAATGTTATCAAACTTCATTTGTTGAGGAAAAGCAATTAAGAGAGCTGTAAATATCCTATCCAGAGTAGCTATTTTGCCACTGTATGACACAGAGTGCTAGATTGTGGTGGCCCTTCTTAACATTTCCGATTAGAAATTCAGTTTTTTAGTTTTTAGCATTAGATATGATACTGTATTGAAGATTGTAGTGTAGCACTATAAGACTTATGCTACAGTTCCCATAAAGTCTCATAAATAATTCCTTGCTGTTCAACATCACCACAGTATATAGTATATTTCTTGAGATACATCATCAGGGAACCCGGAATTTAATTTTAATTATGAACTGATTATACTCCATTCAGTTTCTTCTTTACATTTATCCTTATAATCTGTATCTGGAATAAGTGACAGATTTGGATAAGAGTAATTCCATACAAATAAAATTCCTGTTGATTAATGATTTATCAGTTTGGGGAAATGGTATTCCTTCTGTTTTGGATGGATTTAATCAGGTGCTGGACTTTCAACTGGAACAAAGAGCATGTGGCATATTTTGCAAGCTTTTTACTGATGTACCAGTTGCATTCCTTTTTGGGGAAACATAACATGGCTAGTTATCCACTCTCTATAATAACATCCACACTAGATTGCTATAATATAGCCCTTGGGACAGTGGTGAAATTGTTACTACCGGTTCTGTGGGCATGGTTTGGTGGGGGGAGATGTGACTGGATGGGCGTGGTCAACTTTTTTTTTTTTAAACTTTTAAAACCATTTTTTCTACAACCTCTTCGGCCCAGCTAAGTTGCCTGATCGTCAGAGGTTTTTTTTACTTTCAAAAGCCTCTGACGATCCCAGCAGAGTTGCCTGATCGTCAGAGGTTTTTTTTTACTTTTAAAAACATTTTTTCTGAAACCTCTTCGGTTGAAGAGGTTATTTAAAAAATGCTTTTAAAAGTCTCTGACGATCCCAGATGAGCTGCACGATCATCAGAAGCTTTTTTTTTTTTAAAGCATTTTTTTGGCAGAAGAGGTTGTAGAAAAAAATGCTTTTAAAAATAAAAAAAATGCCTCTGATGATTGCGCAGCTCAGCTGGGCATGGGGATTTTTGCTACTAATTCTCTCAACCACCTGCCACCATCACTACCGGATCGGCCAATCCGGTCCGAACCGGGAGCATTTCCGAAGAGCATTTCCGAAGAGCCTGGTGTCGCAGCAGACTAATAGCCTGTTATTATCATTCAGCTGCCTGCAATTACTGCTAGTTCGAATCTCCCCAGGCTCAAGGTTGACTCAGCCTTCCATCCTTTCTAAGGTAGGTAAATTGAGGACCCAGTTTGTGGGGGCAATAAGCTGACTTTGTATAAATATACAAAAGTATGAAGGCTATTGCTTAACGCATTGTAAGCCGCCCTGTGTCTCCGGAGAAGGACGGCATATAAATCAAATTAAAAATAAAATAAAAAATAAAAAAATTTCACCCCTGCCTTGGGGCACCTCTTGAAGATCATGTAAAATATTCTGGCTCCTTCCAGGTGTTTTGAGATTAGAGTGTACAGAATTCGTAAATATCATGGGCTATGTTTCATCACATCTGAGTTGAATAAGGCTGATCAAGAAACTATTTTAGAAGATGCTGGCAATCTAGTATTTGCAGTTGAGACTAGCTCTTTTGTTAATTTAAGAGGGAATTTAAAATATATTTAGTCAGTTTAGATTTTTGTTCATGATTCAGGATGACATAAATTTAATTTCACATATTATCAATTACCAAGAACCATAAAATGGATGTGGCAGCATATTTAAATAAATAAGATAAATAATATTGGCTACTATGGTAGGAGCTTTTTTTATATTAAGGATGAAAACTTTTGGTGCTATTGCTAAGAGATTTTAGGAAAGTAGTATTTATTTAATTAATTTAGGTATCAAATTATTCACTAATAATTTATAAGAAAGGGATTAATATGTGACTGAGGATAAATCCTGCTAACTATATTTCATTTTAATTATATGAATGAATACATGAATAAATAAAATTTAATTTTGTGTGTTGCTCCAAGTATTGTCTTATGGAGTGCTATGCTTATTATGTATTTAAAAGTGTCAGTTGTGAAAAGATATTTGTCTTGTTTTGCCTGTTTGTTTTTTCTCTATAGCTGTTCAGTAGGTTTGAAACTTTTTTAATGGAACTGGGTATGTTTAATCTGCTGTGAGGAACTTCTGGGATGTAAATCTACTAAAATTATCATTTGAAATCATTTGAATGATTTAAATGTGAATCATTTGAAAAAAGACTATAGACGGCAGTAAAGTTTATGATATTGAGGAGGAAAATACAGCTGAGTAACCAAAAATATGATATATCTCTATTATACATTTAAGGAAGGAAAGATGAAAAAATAAATAAAGAGTTAATACTTTTTTTTAAAAAAAGCAGAAAACATTTAACAATTTAAAATGAGAAAATATAAGAATTGAAGTAAGGTGAAATTAAAGAGAGTTAAATAAAAATGTCTGGATGTTTAAGTACAAATATAAATTAGTGTGAAGCAAAAGCACAAAGAAGTAGAGGCAATATGCAATTTTAAGTTATTATCCACTGACAGTAAGCCAGTAAGTGTATCAAATCTGTCATAAATATTTCTAAAATAATTTAATTTTTTTCAATAAGTGGAAATGACAATGCAGTACATTCTTATAATACAGTACCTACAAGCAGAAAGAAACAATGCATAAATATATTTTGAAAAAGATTGACAGATTTCTGTACTTATTTTAGTACAGGATAAACAAAAAAGTGCCACCTAAATAGAAACTGGCAAAGAAGATTGCAAGATGTTGTTACCTGCCAAGAACCTGCAGGTAGCAGCAGCTGGCCTGGCCTGCAGCAGGCTTCCATTTGTCTGGTGGGGTGGGGACCAGGAGAGGCCTCCAGAGCTGCCTCCACCTCCGAGGCACTTTCATGTTCCATTTAACGTGAACAATTGCTTAATGATCACAACTGAGAGAGCTTTGCTTAATGACCAAGTTTCCAGTCCTAATTGTCACTAGTCGAGGACTACCTGTAGTTTTTCTATATGTTTTAATAAGAAGAAACAATAGTTATTACACACAAGAAATTAAAATAATAAATTGAAATCTAATTTCATACACACACACACACACACACACACACACACACACCAAAAAACCCCAAGAACATCAGGAAAACAATATAAGCAAAATAACAGTACTATATAGCAAGCATTTAGAGAATATTTACTGTGTATTTCAATAGTCTGTATTGCCATATCATTCTTAAGAATTGCCTATTCACAGTTTGTAAGATTCAGTCCTGCTGAATTCAGTAAGGTTTCCTCTCTGGTAAGCATGTATTTATAAAATTGGAGCCTTAATGGGATGCCCAAATAGAGCTAAAGTGGATCTAGCTTGACTACCTCTCACCTAATCAATAAAAAAGTGACATTTGAGAGTAAATGTATAGATTTATGGCAAATTTCAATTGAACAGTTGTTAAAGTTTCAATCAGGCTATATTGAACAAATGCTTACTGCAAAAACAGATTTTACTGGTCTAAACTAATGTAGCTTCCTTAAAATTGGTAAAAATTGTTCTAGTTGTCCAGTGCATTTTTTCCTCACTCTTTCTAGAAAGTGGAAATTAGATTCTATGTAATGTTTATAGCTAGTAGAATGTATTTGTTAATATTTCAGCTGCCATACAGAACAAATATTAATATCAAACTCTGCTCTATTATTTATGTGTGTGGGTTTTTTTTTAAAAAAAACTAACAAATACTTTATTTCTTAGCTCCTGAAATAGTAAACTATGAACCACTTGGTCTTGAGGCAGATATGTGGTAAGTTCTCAATTTTTTCTGGCATTTGTTGGTAATTTTTATAGGAGGCTTTTAGCACTGAAAAATACCTTTTTCCTTCTCCCATATCTCTTTGCAGGAGCATTGGTGTAATAACTTACATTCTGTAAGTATCAACATCCTAATGTGTGTTTTTTTTTTGTAATTACCTCAATATTATTCAGTCCTGTAACTGATAATCTATGGTTTACAACCATAGAAATCTTCTTATGAAATTAGCTTGAAATACTTGCAGAAATACTATATGAAAACAAATTTCAGAATATAGTGAATAGAAAGTGTAAACTGTATTAAGCATTATTTTGATATTTGGGGATATAATTTGGTATATCTTAAAAGTACTTTTCCATCTCCATGAAGTGAGAAACCTGAATATTGTTAGATTCTAGTCCAGCCAACGCAGAAAAAAGGTCAGAGCTGTAGGGTATAATCTACATGTAGGACCATGGATTTTCCATTTCTAAATTATGATTTTAAAAACAGATATAAATTACTTTAAGTGCCTTCACTTGCTGGTTTAATGATTAAAGAAACCTATTTGGAAATTGTTAAAAATCCTGATGCTTGGTTTCCATTTAGTGATATAGATGGTGGTGGTATCAATAAAAGTCTATTTTGAATGAAGCAAGTAATGAGTCCACCATTTTAGGTGCCTCCAAAATGAGCATTGTTATTAAGCATCCTTTTTCATTGTAAATTTGATGAAAGAGATAAACCGGGGAGGAAACAGATTGCTGAAGCAGCAGAGGACGACAGCGTGGTTAAGACTAGAGAAGAGTGGTTCAACAGGAGACTTGCTTTGCCTTTTTTAAATGAGCTTGTGTTGTTTTTTTTTAAAGCAACATAGAAGAAATCTGTATGTTTTAAAAGGCAAGATCAATTTGGGGGGAATCTGTCTACCACTTTTGGCCTAAGTACATGCATTGAGCACTACTGAAACTAGAACAGAAGAAAACAAGCTGTGATTTTCCACCGCCCACCCTTTTTCTATGTGAAAGTGAAGGGAGTGTTAATGTTTAAAATAATGTTAATCAACTTGAATTGAAATTATTACAGGGCACATAAATTTTTTTGACAGGTGGAGATAAAAATATTATTTTACAGTTTTAAGGGGTTATTTGTATTTTAATTAGTAATTTCATTAGTAAAAAATTAGTTTATTTGATGTGGTTCATCCCATTGTGTGGATGTCTATGCTCACAGCATAGCCATGTTAAATTTATGCCTCTGTTTATTTATTCCAAATACTCTGAAATATTGTTTGACTCCTAATTTACATTGGCCTCAGCATTGGTGATTTATGTATTTTTAATTTAAGAATAATTTTTTTATTTTAGCATATTTATTTGGCCCCCAACTCACTCTCAGTCACTAAAAAAGATAAAAACCCAATATAAAAGCAATAATAATTTATTGACATATTTCCTCTGCTCCAAATAGATTCTAGAACTGAGATGTTTCTGTTCAAGTCACGCAGCATCATACTTACTGTGCCAAAATTAATTTTTGCAGATTAAGTGGCGCTTCACCATTTCTTGGAGAGACAAAACAAGAAACGCTAGCCAATGTGTCTGCAGTGAATTATGACTTTGAGGAAGAATTCTTTAACAATACCAGTGCTCTAGCTAAAGATTTTATAAGGCGACTTCTAATAAAGGACCCAAAGTGAGTTTTTTTCATTGATTATTTGGGATGGGTATGATCTTTTTTAATTTTATGCTTTAAATTATGCTTCTCAGCCAAGCTGGCATATAGCAGCAGCAACATTAGGGCCACTTGAGGAACATCATGAGAACACCCAGTTATGGGAGGTGGAGGTTATGGGTATAATACAGGTAATCCTGAAGTTACAACCACAATTGAGCCCAAAATTTCTGCTGCTAAGCAAGAGAGTTGCTAAATGTGTTATGTCCCAATTTCATCACAGTTGTTAAGTAAACCATATGATTGTTAAACAAATCTGGCTTCCCCCATTGACTTTGCTTGTCAGAAACCAGCTGGGAAGGTCGCAAATGATGATCACATGACCCCAAGGACAGTGCAACTGTCACAAATTCATGCCAGTTGCCAAGCATCCAAATTTTGATCATGTGACCATGGGGATGCTGCAACAGTCGTAAGTGTGATAACCGATCATAAGTCACTTTTTTCAGTATCGTCGTAACTGCTAATAGTCACTAAACAAATGGTTGTAAGACTATCTGTACACAATTTCATCAGTTCATCAACTGGTATACTGACCTTCTAACTGCATTGCATACTTCCAATATGATAACCTAAGTGCCTTCTGCAACAATCTAGTTGGAAATATCTATGTTTCTAAACGTAAGCTTTATTTCTTTTGAAACTAGTGACATGTTTGCCACTTCATTGTCCTGGACTTCATTAAATTAACACTTCAGAAAAAAATTGCACTGAGACACTAATGATGACTTGTTTTTACTTATCACATTCTAGTATTAAATAGACACGTTTTAATAAAGTTTCATGAAGAATGCACCAGGATCAGTACTGTGTGATGTTGCTAGAATTAATATGATATAGTGGGTTTATAATGGCTGAAAATGCTAGAGTGGGACTAGAAGATAACTTTTAAATTCTGCCCAGTGGGTTTACAGTTGTAGTTATAAGCAGGTGAAGAAAATAGAGTAAGAGAGTTACATTGGCTTAATTAATTTGTTTCTCATTTAAAAGGAAGAGAATGACTATTCAAGACAGCTTGCAACATCCATGGATCAAGGTCAGCATGTAATACATAATACAGCATGTAATACACACAAATACCCAGGCATAGGACCTGGGTATTTGCAGGACCGCCTTCTGCCGCCAATAGCCTCCCACCGGCCTGTACGCTCCCACAGAGAGGGACTCCTCAGGGTGCCGTCAGCCAGGCAGTGTCGGCTGGCGACCCCCCAGGGGGAGGGCCTTCTCTGTGGCAGCACCTGCCCTCTGGAACGATTTGCCCCCGGAGATATGCATGATACCAGATATCCGGGCTTTTCGCCGTGCCCTAAAAACTTTTCTTTTCCACCAAGCAGGGCTGGCATAAACCTCCCCCCCCCTTTTTTTTTTTTTTTTTGACATGTTAGATTTTTAATTGTCTATGGGTTGTAGTTGGGATGTTTTAAATTTTGGGCCAAAGTTGTGTAATTCTTTTTAAAAAATTTAAATTTTGTATTGGAATGTTCTTTATTTTTGGCTTTGCACCGCCCTGAGTCCAGCAGGAGAAGGGCGGTATACAAATTTAATAAAAAATAATTAATTAATTAATTAGTTAAATTAAATTGTTTGATTCTGTTTGCCTGTTTTATTGCTCCTATTTGTATTTTTGTTTGCTTTTTGAGGCATACAAGTATAAGCATTTTCTTGCATCCTCTAAGGCACTTTGATCAAATTGTTTTCTTCCTATATAGTGTATTTTTAATAGTTATTCTAACCCTTGAACCAAATCAATTTTCCCTGCATTATCAAAGAGGAAAAATCCAATAGAATGTAGTAAAAATAAAAGTTGATCCATAGGAATTATATGTCAGAGAAATATACTGTACTGCACACTTGCATAAAACAACTGCTTATGTATATTCTGTAGTTGACAGGCAATAAATTCTGCCCTGAATTCTTCTTCTCCTTGGACTAAGGATTATAGTATTTTGTGGTGCCAGTGCCTCCTAAATTAACACATGAATTTGAAAACCTGGACTTTAACTGTAACATATGACAACCTTGACCATGACAGTAGCATTTCAAAATGTTATTTTAATTTTCTTACAGCCAAAAGATACGCTGCAAGCCCTAAGTAGAAAAGCCTCTGCAGTAAATATGGAGAAATTCAAAAAGTTTGCTGCACGAAGAAAATGGAAAGTAAGGTTAATAATTATTTACAATAATGCAATTTAGCTTTGTCTAAGATATACAAGAGTATGTGCTATTGTAACAAAATATTAAAAGACTGATCAGGGGCTAAATTTAATATAAATATTCAATTTTCTGTCTCTTGCTTTTAATTAGTAATAGTGCAAGATCATCTGTTCATTAATCTGAGCAATGTAGGTTTCTAAACATATGCAGTATTTCCACTGTAGCTCGGAAGAAAAAGGAAGTAACAAAGTTGTAAGAATGAGATATACATAAAAATTTCAAAAGCAATAACATACCACAAAGGATGTAATTACTATGAGAATGGATATGAGATTGAAATATCTATCTCTCGATACAATCATGATTTTTGACACTTAAGAACTTGTTCTAAGCTGCCTCTCATTAAAATTTTGAATTGCCAACAAACTACAAATCAGTGTTTAGTAACCTACATTTTAATATATCATTTTCCTATGATAGATTTCATGTGACATAAATTTCCTCAGAAATAAATGTTTGCTTCTTTTTTTAATAAAAGCAATCAGTGCGTCTAATATCATTATGCCAAAGATTATCAAGATCATTTTTGTCCAGAAGTAACATGAGTGTGGCCAGAAGTGATGATACTCTGGTAAGTAGACACATGCAATTTGATAATTTCCTTAGGAAATTTTGGCTGTAGTATAAAATGTTGTATGCAAATCAGGATTCAATTTTATTTAACTGTATTGATAAATTGAATTTCAGGTTTCATAGGGATTACTAGTAAGAAATTAATGATATGTCTATCAAGCAGCCATCCCCAAATTGGGGATATATACAATACAGCTACCATAAACATAATTTGCCAAGTGGCTGGGAATCTTGGAGTTGGTCTGAACCTTAAAAGTATCTTGATGAACAAAGCTAATACAACTGAGCTTCCATCTCAGGTTTCCAATCTTTATTTTATGCACTGTTTGTACATAACAATTTATGTACAAAAGTGAGCAAGAAAGAGATTAGATGTAACCCTTGATTTACAGTTACAGTTGAGCCCAAAATTTTCATTGCTAAGTAAGACAATTGTTAAGTGAGTTTTGCCTCATTTTACAGTCTTTCTTGCCACAGTTATTAAGAAAATCATTGTTAATTGATTGAATTGATACTAATTAAGTAAATTAGTAATGTGGTTGTAAAGTGAATCTGGCATCCCCATTGACTTTGCTTGTAAGAAAGTCACAAAAAGTGATCACATGACCCCAGGACACTGCAACCATCACAAATACATGCCAGTTGCCAAGTGTGCAAATTTAGATCCTGTGATCATAAGGTTCTTGCAATTGTCTTAAGTGTGAAAAATGGCCATTGTAATTTCGAACAGTCACAAAAGGAGTGGTTGTAAATCAAAAATTACCTATATCTTTTTCTTGATTAAATTAAATGCAGCTTACCATTACTACACTGGGCCAAGCCATAAAAAATTAAAACTAGGAAGTGGTTGTTTCAAGCCTAATAGAAGGTCTACTAGATAACTTAGAATTAAATTAGAATTTCTCTTTACATAAAATTTACATTCTGAAAAAATGTAACAGTTCTTTGTAGCCCTTAGTAATTAGGATGGTTTGAGAATATATAATTCAGTTACAGTTACAATTTTTTTTATTATTATTATTTATTATTATTTTTTTTAATTTGATTTATATGCCGCCCTTCTCCGAAGACTCAGGGCGGCTTACAATGTGCTCAGCAATAGCCTTCATCCTTTTGTATATTTATACAAAGTCAGCTTATTGCCCCCACAAACTGGGTCCTCATTTCACCTACCTTAGAAAGGATGGAAGGCTGAGTCAACCTTGAGCCTTGGCGAGATTCGAACCCTGCAGTAATTGCAGGCAGCTGGTCTTAATAAGCTTAATAACAGGGTGCCTTAAACCCCTGTACTACCAAGGCTCTAATTTAAAGCAGAGTATATTGCCTTTATTTATATTGACCTCTTGAGGCTTCTATTCAAATGTATAAATCTATAGGATATATACTTAATACAATTTGGATACCTTTATTTTCTTAAATAGTTGATATATGTACTGAACAAATTTGTTCTTGAAAAGGAAATGTATAAGAAATTTTGCAGAGTGATCCTTTTTTCTTTTGTCCATCTGCTGATTTTCTAATTATTGTAAATGTAATTTCTACGTGCTGTAGGGTACTTTTAAAGCCAATTCAGTTACTAAACCAACTGTTTCAGAAGATGAATTTCAATCTTGACCTCTTGTGACATAAAATATAAATAAACATAAGACTACTGTTGCAGGACTGCAACATTTAAATTAAGTAATTTTTTACTTCTGCAAAATCTTTGCTGCTCACTCTAGCACATGTTGAAATGTTTTAGAAAACAAGACAGACACTTAATACAAAATACAGAAAAGGAGTAAAAAATACTGAGCTAAAGAAATGAAAGTCATGAGATTAAAAAAAAAGAAATATAAATAAACCTGTTTGGCCTCAAGACTTTTCATTATATTTCTTCATGCATTACCTCTTTATACTTACAAAATGGACACTTTAAGAAAGTAAAAATCCCCTTAGATTAGAACAAAGTTGCTATATGTTAGATGTTTGCAGTGACACTGAAGAACTTCTTTCAAGATTGAGCCATTTGAAAATGCATATAGTGTAGCAGCACAATTCCTATTAATAATACTGTAGTAATCCTGTCAGAACTGCAATATATTGCTATGGCCTTGTTTTGCTTTGTTTGCTATTTTTAAGGGTACTTAGCCCTCAAATTAATTATCTTTTTATTTCCTATTACCCCCTCCATTTACAACTCTATGCTTCATTTTGCTTAATTTATGAGGACGAGGAAGATTCGTTTGTAATGAAGGCCATCATTCATGCTATCAATGATGACAATGTTCCTGGCCTTCAGCATCTTTTGGGGTCTTTGACCAATTATGATGTCAATCAACCAAACAAGGTATGTTCTTGTTGTCTGATTAGTTGCTCAGTGTTTAAAAATATGTGCAGGAAAAGATTTATCTTTTGTATAAGATAACAGAATGTTTTATAATATATTGGAGAAAATGTGCATTGTTTTCTAGTATGCTGTTAATGTATTTAATACCTAGCATACATCACTGCATTGATTCATCTGTGATCATATCTTTGTTACTCTCCGCTCCAAATTTAATAGAAATAAACTAAGCAGTATGAAAACTTTTCCAAAATAAATAAGAAAATGCATTATATAAGTTCAAAACTGAGCACTGTTAAGTCTATAGAATTATGTTCTAATTGTACTGCTATGGACTCCTTATAGAATTCCACATTGTTGTTTTTCTCTAGCATGGAACACCTCCATTTCTGATTGCTTCTGGATGTGGGAATATTCAGATGCTCCAGTTATTTCTAAAGCGAGGTGCCCGCGTTGACGTCCAAGATAAGGTGGGAAACTAATTGATCATTGCTAATAAAATAAAATATGTGACATATTGATAGTGTAGTGTAGAAGGATAGAGATTAAATATCCGTGTTTTATAAGTGATCATTGTAGATTATGAACATTGTTTTAGTTAATTCAGGTTCAAATTACAATCTTGCAAGTTCTTCCTTTTCAATCCATGAGCTATATCTGTCTGACGTCAAACTATAATTCTGAGGATGTATGCAACAAATTGTTGAAATTAGTGTATGGTTTTGTTGATTATTACCATAAAATATTTTGGACAGGCAGGATCCAATGCAATATACTGGGCGTCTCGGCATGGTCACATAGAAACTCTGAAATTTCTCCATACAAATAAATGTCCTTTGGATGTAAGAGACAAGGTAAGGAAAAAAGTTTCTTTTTTTTTTCCAATTAAAAAAAACCATCATGTATTCTAATTTTTAATAAGCTACATTTTTGCTAAGTGGGCACATTTCAAATTTAAGAGCAAGTAATGAAAAATCTAATTTATTCATAGAACATTAGCTATGGTAGGAAGAGAAGAAAAAAACTTTTTGAAAAGGGTTTCACTTGTGGAGAAGAGCTGCTTTAAGGTTGTTCTTTACTACTCCCATATATCTAGTTTTTTATGTGCTGGTAGACATAGTTGAATTCATGAGCTGTATTTCCATATTATTCTGACTTAACCATAAAATATAACCATATTTTGTTAAGCATGTTGTGCAGTCATAACCTATATTTTTTCCAGTGAATTATGCAAATGAAGAAAATTAAATTAGTGGAGTTAATCATTGGAAATTGTATTATGTAAATGCAGTCATACTGTAGGTATTTTCAACAGTCTGGTATAAGAAATAATATTTGCATGTGGTTGTCTTCAAATACAGTCTGGAGAAACTGCACTCCATGTGGCTTCTCGATATGGTCATGTTGAAGTAGTTCAATACCTCTGTAGCATTGGATCAAATTCTAATTTTCAAGATAAAGTGAGTAATGAAGATTTATTTATACAGATTTTTGTGAAGTGAAAGTAGCTTCTGAAATGTAAATATAGTTGTGAAGTGCTTTCTTGTTTAAAATTGTTAATAAACTCAGAAATATAAAAGTCTTGTCTTTGTAATATGTCAGGATTTTGGTCTTCCGCTATATTTTTTTCGATATAATATCGCTATTCAGGCTTGAAAAGAATCTCAACTTTAAAAGCTCTCTCTACATCATTCCACAGGCTCTGCACTATATATTAATTATTTAAAACACCTAAGAAAGTCAATCTTGTAATATTACTTGTGAACAGGGGTGAAATGTAAAATTTGTTACTACTAGTTCTGTGGGCGTGGCTTGGTGGGGGTTAATGTGACTGGGTAGGCGTGGCCAACTTTTTTTTTTCTAAGCATTTTTTCTAATGCTTTGAAAAGCCTCTGCCAATCAGGCAACTCAGCTGGGATCGTCAGAGAGGCATTTTAAAAAATACCTCTCTGCCGATCAGGCAACTCAGCTGGGAGTTGCCAGAGACTTTTCAAAGCATTTTTTTTACCACCTCTTCGGCCAAGAGGTTGCAGAAAAAAATGCTTTGAAAAGCCTCTGATGATTCCAGCTGAGCTGTGCGATCATCAGAGGCTTTTTTTTTTTTTTAACTTTTAAAAGCATTTTTTCTTCGGAAGAAGTTGTAGAAAAAATGCTTTGAAAAGTAAAAAAAAAAAAGCCTCTATGATCGTGCGGCTCAGCTGGGCATGGGGGGGGCAGGGATTTTTGCTACCGGTTCTCTGAACCACCCGCTGCCATCGCTACCGGATCGGGCAATCCGGTCTGAACTGGGAGCATTTCACCCCTGCTTGTGAAGAAATAAGGACCTGATATAAACTTGAGATTTTGTAGAGAACTAGCCAACTTTGGCATTGATTTCTTAATTTATAATTGTCTAGTTCAGTCACTTGAATTGATTAATAATACTATGAGTTCATATCTAAGTTGTAGTCTGTAAATGTTGAAAGTTACTGCATATGTGTGCATTCTGGACTATAGAATTAACTATTGAATAAACACATCAGTTATTGAGCCAGTAATTCATTAGAAGAATCAAAAGCTGAATCATAGTTTATACACAAAATTCAAACTAGTAACCAAAAATGTCAGAATTTGAAGCAAAGTCCATTGTAGTCTAAGGTTAAGATTGCAATAATGAATCAGGCCTATGATGATTTTGGAAGCTGGTAATTTTTTTAATTAAAAGCCTGGAACTGCAACTTTGTAAGCCTGAGTTTTTAGAAACCTAGCCAATGTTCAATGGTAGCCATTAAAGAGACTCTTGGAAAGATCTTATTGCTGGGTGGATCTTTCTTTTCAAAGGATTGCCCTCTTTTTGCTCCTGTCTGAGTGTGTGTGTGCATGTGTGTGTATATGAAAAATTCATTGTGAACATATGAGCTGGAACTACTGATTGTTTTGCTCTGTTTTTTCCCCCCAAAACAAGACTATGATATAGGCTGAGTTGAAAAGGCATGGTGATCCAAAGTCACATACATGAGTTTCCCTGGCTGAGGATAGACTTAAACCTGGGCCTCCTGAGTACTAGTCGAACCTCTGAATCACTATACCATGCTGGACAGTTATTCACGTGATAGAACATTAATATAGGGAAGGGTCCTATAACCTCTGGAGCTATAGAGTTAGATTTTAATAACAGAATAACAGGGTTGGAAGGAGAGTTCCATGGACATGGAGAAACTTGGAGGTCTTCTAGTCCAACCACTTGCCAAAGCAAGAGAACCTATACATTCCAGACTGTCAAATCTCTTCTTAAAACCTCCAGTGATGGAGCAGCCACAACTTCTGGAGGCAAGCCATTCCGCTGATTAACTATTCTCATTGTCAGAAAATTTCTCCTTATTCTAGGTTAGATCTGTCCTTGATAAGTTTCCATCTGTTACTTCCTGTCCTGCGTTCAGGAGCTTTGGAGAATAGGTTGACTCCCTCTTTTTTGTGACAGCCCCTTATATATTAGAAGACTGTTATCATATCCTATATTTATAGGATAGCTCATGAAACATGAATAAATAATGACACGGAATATAACCAGGTGACTTATTTATTGAGCCAAATTTAAAATAGTGTTTTAAATAGTGGTAAAGTAAAAAGGATGTGAGACGTAAGTTTATTAATGTAAGTCCTTCAAAATTACTTTATAGGAAGAAGAAACTCCTTTGCACTGTGCTGCTTGGCATGGCTATTTTCTTGTTACCAAAGCACTTTGTAAGGCAGGCTGTAATGTGAACATTAAAAATAAAGAAGGGGAAACTCCGCTTTTGACAGCTTCAGCTAGAGGTTACCATGACATTGTGGAATGCTTGGCAGAGCATGGTGCTGACCTTGATGCAACTGACAAGGTTAGTTTATGGTTGAATGAGAAACATTTAACAAGCTTTTAAATACTACAAAGCTGTATGTGTTGTGTTCTTTAATACCTCTTTGGATATAGCAGTCACTTTTTATTATTAAATAAAGGTATTATTTAAAAACTAAATATACCCATAAGCACTCCTTTTGTAAATGTAGTTATTTTTATGAGATCTCAGCACTGTATAGTGATTAACTCTGCTAACTGATTTTAGTTATTTTTTTGACTTCACGGTTGACTCATATTTCAGTCTCCTTTATTATTCAGTATCCTTCCCTTTTTTTCTTCTCATTTACTTTCAGATTTACTTTTTCAGTCTGAATGATCCCCTTTTGCTACTACATACTTTGTATAGTTATCTAAAGTATTATTCCAAATTAAGTATAAAAAAACCCCCAAGTAACTAAGTGATATCTCTCTCTTTTTTTTTTACACCACCTCATTTATGTAGAAAGGCTCTGTAGAAGAGCTCCATTCAGGGCCGGATTTAGATGAAAAGAGGCCCTAGGCTATTCCACTTATGAGGCCCTTTCACCTATAGTGAAAGTGTAATTTTAATTTTGCTAACAATTTGAATGTAGGCCCCTCTTGATCTTGAGGCCCTAGGCTGAAGCCTAGTTAGCCTATAGGAAAATCCGGCCCTGGCTCCATTGCAAGCATTCACCTGCAGAGCCAGCTAGAGGCCATTCCTCCCAAAGTTATGACAATTCCTCCTACTCATTTGCTTTAATTTCAAACGCTTGATTTCATTGTACATTCTGCCCATTTGCTTGCATTCATCATTATCTTTTATTACCATGTACTGAACAAATGAAAAAAAAAACACACACATACTTTTAGATAGTTTAATCTTCATTTGGGAGAGAAAATGTACCTTATTTTTGCAGAAATATGGTCATTCGGGAAGGGATGCCCATTTCTTTTTCTTGAAAATAAAATCTCTTGAAATATGTGATTATTGAATTAAAAAGGAAAAAAACCCTTATTTTGCTGTAGAATTCATCCATAACTATAGCCATGTAACATATTCCATATCTATATATACATATGACAGGTATTGCCATAATAGGTCTGGAGATAGATTTTATTTTTTATTTATTTATTTTCAATTTATATACCGCCCTTCTCCCTGAGGACTCAGGGCGGTGCACAGCCAGAATTAAAAACATGAAATACAAATATTAAAAACAATTAAAATCTATATAAATTTGGCCCAAAATTTAAAAAACCACAAACCAATTAAACATTTAAAAATTTAAAAAAATTTCTTCCTAAGCCAGCCCGGCTTGCTGGAAAAAGTGGGTTTTAAGGGCACGGCGGAAGGCACTGAGGTCTTGGATTCTCCTTATCTCTGGGGGCAGCTGATTCCAGAGGGTAGGTGCCCCCACAGAGAAGGCTCTCCCCCTGGGGGTCACCAGCCTACATTGTTTGGCTGATGGCACCCTGAGGAGGCCCTCTCTGTGGGAGCGCACGGGTCGCTGGGAGGTCATCGGTAGCAGCAGGCGGTCTCGAAGATAGCTAGGCCCTATGCCATGGACGGCTTTAAAGGTGATAACCAACACCTTGAAGCGCACCCGGAAGACCACCGGGAGCCAGTGCAGCTCGCGCAGGAGCGGTGTTACATGGGAGCGCCATGCTGCTCCCATCACTACCCGTGCTGCTGCGTTCTGGACCAGCTGGAGCCTCCGGGTGCCCCTCAAGGGGAGCCCCATGTAGAGAGCATTGCAGTAGTCAAGGCGAGAGGTGACGAGGGCGTGAGTGACAGTGCACAGGGAATCCCGATCAAGAAAGGGCCGCAACTGGCGAATCAGGCGAACCTGATAAAAGGTCCCCCTGGTTACAGCCGTCAGATGTTCCTCCAAGGACAGCTGCATATCCAGGAGGACTCCCAGATTGCGAGCCCTTTCTGTGGGGGCCAAGGACTCGCCCCCAATAGTCAGTGATGGAGTCAACTGACTATATCGGGATGCCGGGAGCCACAGCCATTCAGTCTTGGAAGGGTTGAGCTTGAGCCTGTTCTTCCCCATCCAGATCCGCACAGCCTCCAGGCACTGAGACATCACTTCAAGGGCATCGTTGGGGTGGCCTGGGGTGGAGATGTACAGCTGGGTGTCATCAGCGTACTGATGGTATCTCACCCCGAAGCCACGGATGATCTCGCCCAGCGGCTTCACATAAATGTTGAACAGAAGGGGCGAGATAAATAGATTTTGTTTGCTGCAGAAGAAATAATTACCTGTGTTTATGTTTTAGGATGGACACATAGCCCTTCACCTTGCTGTACGAAGATGTCAGATGGAAGTAGTAAAAATGCTGATTAGTCGAGGTTGCTCTATAGATTTTCAAGATAGACATGGTAACACTCCTCTCCACGTAGCCTGCAAAGATGGAAACGTTCCCATTGTAATGGCACTCTGTGAAGCAAACTGTAACATCGATATGACAAACAAGGTAATAACAATAATAAATCTAATTCTATAAATATTTATCATGAGTGTACATTAAAATACCTTTTTTAAATGAACTACATTTATATTTGGGAAGAATACAGGATTTCATTTTTGTGTAGTAGCTATGTTTTAAGGACATAGAGGGATTTTTCCCTACAGACGCCAGAACCAATAGGAAAATAAATGTTGCACTGTATGATGCCATCAGCATCTGTTTGCTAGCTTTCCTAATGAAAACTGCTTTTTGTCTTTTTTTGAAACTATTATCATCTTATTTGGTTTTGAACTTTTGAAGCTGTATTATCTTGCATAGGTATCTCTTCCGTGTCATTGTTCAAATAAGCAATTAGTAGACAGTATCAGCTGTAGAATGGATTGAATATAATTAATATATCTGTATTTCCAAGTTAATTACTCAGTCATATTTTTCAATAGCAGGTATATGAATCCTCTAACCTTTCTGTCAACATGATATCAAGCTGTTCCATTCTGTGTAACAGGTGGAATAAGAAGGTGACTGCTCTAAGCAAACCAACATTTAATTGCAAAAAAAGTGTATGGATGATAAAGGATAAAAGAATGACTATGTTTTATAAATCAGAAAAAGTTAGGGAGGATATTCCTCTTGACAAACTCTATTTTTTCTTTTTCTATTTTTTCTCATTTAATTAACCACAAACATCTGTCAGATAAAATTCTTTAGCATTTCAGTATACATTGAAAAATTAGTAATGCAATGCAAAAAAATATCTGCTGTTCTTCTGGTAATGATATTTAAAAACTCAATACCTCATATACTTGCTTTGTGGAAATGCATTAGTAAAGTGCATGAATTAAAAATTAATTCATTTTTAATTGAATTAAAATGGGGGAATTAAAATCTAAATAACTATCTTGATTGTCTGGATTTCTCTATAGGACTATTTTTCATGGTGTTGCTGGATGATGAAAAAAACAGACAGATTTGAATGTTTAGTATTGTATAATGAACATCTGAATAATGAAACATTTTAGTTGCCAAAAAAAGCAGTTGATTTCAAAAGTGCTAGCATTAAGGAACATTTTTTAATTTTAGAGAATTAAATAGAATTACAGTATAGTTTTGTCATCTAAAATAAAACCCTGTGACCTTCTGTGCTAAACTTCAAAATGAAAACATTGGATTTTTGGCTGATCTTATGAAATCATATATTTGGATCATTTTTAAGTGTAAATGTCACCAGCTGCCAAGTAAAAAGTTTATGTAAATCAGGCCTCTGTCTTCTTCTATTAGTGTAATCTTGACTGATTGAGCAATTAAAAACAGAGCCCTGCTAGAAACTGTTTATCTGGAAAGCAGAATTAAGAGCAAACAATGCAGCTTTTATTATTTCAATTATCTTATCTTTGGTTGTCCAGAGAATTTGGCACAAAAGTTTTTAGGGAGTAGTACATGGAAGGAATTTGGAACTGGTTCCAAAGGGAGATAGATGTTTCCAAATAAAGGTTGGCTGGTAGTTGCTTTTATTCAACTTCTTTTTAAAAAAAATAATAATTATTAAACATTTTTTAAAAACAAAAAGAAAGCTTTAACACTTTTTCTGTTTCAACAGTTTCGCATCAGTCAAGAATTTCATACTTATACATTTTTCCTCCCTTATTTCTACTATATCTTTTATATATATACTTCTAATATTTATGTATTACATATATACATAACAATACTCGTGTACCTACTTCTATTTCTACAGTTTTTGTTTCCTCATATTAACAATTATACTTCAACTCCTATTTCAACCATTATTTGATTTTTCCCTTCCTTTTATCTCTCTCCTCCAACCATTCATACCATTTCTCTCACACTAAGTAATATTCTGTTAACCTTTTTTCTTGTATCTCCTTTGTTAATTTGTCCAACTCCGCACATTCCAAAACTTTTCTGATCAGATTATCTTCGGATGGTATATTATCATTTTTCCAATTCTGAGCGTAGATTATTCAACTTCTTCTGAGAATAACATTAGTACAAATAAAGCAACCAAGTGCTTTGGGATAGAGTTCTAGAAAGCACATAAAACCCACAAAAACTTAGAAAGTAAATAATTGAATTACCTTTTTTTCTGTGACTGTTGCATCTTAAACACATGATGTTCTTAGCAGATTCTTATTTTTCTTATTATGGACCAACTGGATTATTATTTGCTGATTTATCTTAAACCTATTTCAAAGTATTATCTAAAATAAAATCAGGAAAAGGGGCAGTTCTACTCTATTCTGGGCATGTTCAAAACCTGTTCCAGAGAATTTCACTAGTCTAGAGCAGATTTAGAAAACATGTGGAGGTCTTATAAAACAAGATGCCTCTTACAGGACCAGGAATTTAGACAAAGTCAGTTTTATATATAGATTAAAGCAATTGTCTTTGAAAAATAAAACTGCTAAGATTGTTACTACTTGACAGGACTGTTTCTGTTTGCATGCTTCAATATTTTATATTTTTATTTTTATAGATTTCTGTAGAAGGAATTCACTTCTTTCAGTGTATTAAGTAAAATTTTAAAAAAATATTAAGAGACAGATGATAACTGCCACAAATATAATAGGAAATTCTCAATGTCTGAGAGAAGTATTGTATTCTAAATCCCACAAGTTTAGATCAAACTTTTTTGTGTGGATAAATGGCAAATGGGGTTTTTTTGGGGGGGGGGAGGGTTGATGGAGACTAGGAAATGGACTTCATACATCTAATTGAGGAATGATTTTATGAGTCACAGTGGCACAGTGGTTAGAGTGAAGTACTGCAGGCTACTTCTGCTGACTGCCGGCTGCCTGCAATTTGGCAGTTTGAATATCACCAGGCTCAAGGTTGACTCAGCTTTCCATCCTTCCAAGGTGGGTAAAATGAGGACCCAGATTGTTGGGGATAATATGCTGACTCTGTAAACTGCTTAGACAAGGCTGTAAAGCACTCTAAAGCAGTATATAAGTCTAAGTGCTATTGCTATCTATTTTTTTGGAGACTTGATTTATGGTATCTAATCAATCAGCAATTGATAAGAGATGGTATAAAGAAGCAAACATGGATATTTGATCTGCTATCAGTTAGGACTGATATTTGGGATGATTGAGGATTGAAGCCATGGTAAATTTTCTACAATAACAGTTTGTTAACAGAGGGTTTTGCAATTTTAATCTTGTCTTTTTCTTATTATTGTTTACAATTTTTATTATTCTTATACTCTTGCACAATAAGTTCATTATTATTGTTTTTACTGTTAACCATTTTGTTATTAATATAGTTTATAGATGATAGGATAACAATTTGCAAGTAGATTTAGTACTTCAACAGTTTGAATCCCCCCCTCCCCGTTTCACAAGGGGTGGAAAACTAATATTGTTACATTATACTAATCAGCATTCTACTAGGAAGGACGTTAGATATTTTAGTTAATTAATTTTCTTTTAAAACACTTTTTTTGTTAGTCTTTTTTGTTGTATTTTTTCTTTTTTAAAAAATTTTTTTGGGTGTTTTTTATTTATTTATTTATTTTGAATAAACTAAAAAATTTGTAAGATAAAAATTTGGACCTATTTTCCAGGCTTTGTAGAATGGATAGATGAGACAATATGTTTCTTTTATACTCATTTCATAGTTTTCTCCAGTGGTGAAATCCAATTTTTTTTATTACCGGTTCTGTGGGCGTGGGTTGGTGGGCATGATGTGCCTTGGTGGGTGTGGCCTGGTGGGCATGGCAGAGGACTGATACTGCAAAATCTCCATTCCCACCCCACTCTGGGGCCAGCCAGAGGTAATATTTGCTGGTTCTCCGAGCTACTCATAATTTCTGCTATCAGTTCTCCGAACTGCTCAAAATTTCCGCTACCTGTTCTCCAGAATCTGCTGGAGTTCACCCTTGGTATACTAGCATAATATATATAGTATATAAAATGAGAGCAACCCCCATTCCCCATATCACTGATCATGTTACCTAGTTTGGTAATGAAATGCCTGCAAGAAAACAACCAAGCTCCGAGAGCACCAAGGATTCTGTAGTTCCATCCTGAGTTACCAGTATTTCCTTCTATCAGACACTTTCATACAAAAGCTTGATACAAAAACATCTAGATCAGTGGTGAAATCTAAAATTTGTTACCACCGGTTCTGTGGGTGTGGCTTGGTGGTGGGTGGGCATGGCAATTATTATTATTTTTTTACTTTTAAACCCATTTTTTCTACAATCTCTTCAACGAAGAGATTGTAAAAAAATGCTTATAAAGGCTCTGACGATCCCAGCTGAGTTGCCTGATCGGCAGAGGCTTTTTTTCTTTTAAAAGCCTCTGCCGATCAGGCAATTCAGCTGGGATCGTCAGAGGCTTTTAAAAGCATTTTTTTTACAACTTCTTCAGCTGAAGAGGTTGTAGAAAAAATGCTTTTAAAAGCCTCTGCCAATCCCAGCTGAGCCGTGCGATCATCAGAGGCTTTTTTTTTTAACTTTTAAAAGCATTTTTTCTGCCAAAGAGGTTGTAAAAAAAAATGCTTTTAAAAATTAAAAAAAAGCCTCTGATGATCCTGCAGTTCAGCTGGGCATGGGGGGGGGGGGCAGGGATTTTTGCTACCAGTTTTCTGAACCACCCGTCTCCATCGCTACCGGATCAGGTGATCCAGTCCGAACCGGGAGCATTTCACCCCTGGTTTTCTCTACTGCACAGTAAGCATTATTGTATTGTTCAAGATTAGATGATTATCAATCTAAAAATCTAAGAGTTATATTGCAATATAATTGAGAAGGAGATCCAAAGAATTGGATAGAGAAAGGGTGGTGTTTTTCTCCCTTCCTCAAGGACTATACGAAAAGTAAACTTTTCTTTATATATATCATTTTCCTGCCAGAACCCTAATTCCACAGAATTTATAAATTATCAGGAGATTAATCCATTTGTCAGTTTTTCCTACTACCTATTGATATATATTGAATTGATAAATTCATCTTTCTTACTGATGTTCAGTTAGTTTAAAGTCATCAGTACAGTATAAAACTATTGACAAAATTCCAAATTCCAAGAAGTTCTGCTAATATAGCGGAATTCTTCCTCACCGCAACAGAAATTAAAACATAAAATGAAAAATCTCTTGTTTCCCTCTCATACAATGAGCTGTGTTATTCTAATATTATTTCACAATACAATCATAATTCACAAACTGATTGTGGACCTATTTTGAGTTTGTGTGGTGGGTTTGTTTGTTTTTTTTACTGTGAGGAAATTACCTTTTCTTATAGTTATCCTGTTTTACTTCAGATTGGTAGGCAAGACTAAGCTCAAAATAGATTGAAAGCTCTTTGTATGCTATAAATATATCTTGGAACACTTTATGCTTGGCTCAATAAATCTTTGTGCACTTTGTGAGAGTTGTCTGAAAAGCTGAAATTACAGTACTACATTTATAAGTCTGGACAGCTCTAAAGAATTGCCGTCATCTGAATTGTAAAGATGGAAGTTCATAACATTTTTAAGAGCAAGGGTATAGGAGTGCATGAAAATTTAAAATTAATTTTTAATTTCTAATGTAAGTAAAGTTTGGTCATTTGGCCAAGAAAAATTGAAAACCAAATGTGCATCTGACATGACAAGCTGTCCTGTTGTTTTAGTTGTTATGCTCTTGTGTGCCTCATTCTTGTAAAATGGTTATTTTATAGGACTTTTCCCATTATAAGTTGCTTGATATATTTCAACTCTTCTATTGAGGGCATATTTTTCTTTGCAACTGACCGCAAAATGAATTTGTAGATTTACTAGTTTATTACTTAACAAAAACACCATGTTTCTTTCATAGTATGGGCGAACTCCTTTACATCTGGCTGCAAATAATGGAATCCTTGATGTGGTCCGTTACCTCTGTCTTAGCGGGGCTAATGTGGAGGCTTTAACATCTGTAAGTAGGGCTTTTTTGTTTTCTGCTTATTAGCAGTTTTCTATTAAAAACAGTGGAGTCCTTACTACTCCCTGAGTTCAGCTGTTTGTTTGCCGATGGTTCATTACCCAACTAGGGAACATCAGTGCAGGTGAGTGAGTGGTTTGTTCTTTGTTTATATAGAGTAGCTTGCTCTGACAGTTTTGAATTGGCAGGGCAACTATAAGCTACATGCATATGCATCAATAAGTTTAAGTCCAGCTGTATTGAACCATTTTGAAGACATGCCCTATTCAATGCTATAAAGGATGGGATTTCATTTTTAGTGTTGTCAGAGAAATCAGCCTTTATTTTAGTCTTTCTTTCTTCTACATTTGTAGTCATAACAAGGCACTTCTGACAACGCAGTCATGTTACTATTATAAAACCAGCAGTATGCAAACTTGATCCATTTATGGCAACTGAAATGCAACTGAAACTTTATGCAAATATTGCATAAAGAAATCAAGACACAGAATTTTATGTCCACATGCATGTATGTATGTGTTTACTGAAGAGTCATTTTCCATCAACCTCCAATAAGTAACTTGTGTTCCTTCCCCTCAAATAAATAAATATAACTGTAATAAAGTTAAGAAGCACAGTGAAAAATGTAAGACTAAGTTTGAATATAAAGACTAAATTGGTACAAAAACCAGCCTTAGAATTGAAATGGTAAATAGCTTCTGCCTTTTAGGATCAGCCATCAACAATATGCTCAAGAAATAGATCATAGACTAGCACTTTACAGAGTAGTCATGAAGGCTTTGGAAAAAATATGCTGGGATGTTTTTATACCTATGCAGATCAGAATAGTGCAGACAGTGGTATTGCCTGTGACACTTGTGGAAGTGAACATTAATTTTGAAAAAGCCAGATAGAGCATTGATGCTTCTGAACTTGAAGATTCCTGAGAATATCAAGGATAGCCAAGAAAAGAACAAATGGAAACAAACAAAATCAGCCCAAGGTTTTCAAGAGACAAATGAGCTCCTCTGAGAAATCTATAATGTTGAGAAATGTGGAAGGAAGTAGAAGAGGATAATCAGCAGCAAGGTGGATAAACTCAGACACCATGGCAATGGGTTCACCAAGGACCAGGTTAGGAACAGATTTTCATGGAGAAAATCTACGTGGTTGCTAAGAGTTGACACCAACTTAATAGCACATAATCAGAAAATATTGAATTACAGAATTCTGTGGTGCTTGTAAACATGCTAACATTATCACCAAAAAGCAAAATAGGGACAAAATAAGGCTAAGGTTAGGGTGGGAAAGGCATTGGAGATTGGAAAAAAAATATTCTAATAATTTATACAGATTATTTTAACTGTATAAATTAATTCCTAATAACACCAAGAATGGTAACCACTAATCTATAATGCATTAGGCCTAAACAAATGTTACATTGTACCCAATTCCTGCATTTTAGATAACATCTTTGTCTGTTTATTTCTGTTCTTATGTTTGTGCCAGCCAAAATAGGCAATTTAGATCCTTATTTGCATTTGTGTATTTTTAGCTATCGCTTATGTTGCATTTGTTGATCTAATTATTCTTCGCAAAGATATAGAGGGATAAAAATAAATACGAATTGTTCCAAGCTCTAGAATCTGAAAATAAGATAACTCCCTCTTGCCGGGGGAAAAAAAGCCCAGATCCTCCTGGAAATAAAAGCTCTAAAAATATTAGAATACTGTTAAGCTTCAGATAGTGTTGTGAGGAAATAATTTTTTAGACCCTTATGCTGATTTATATTTCTGGTCAGAAAGATTTTGGCATTTATTAACCCCCATAAAAATATTAATCTAAGCTGGACAGTACGGACCATTCTACTACTATGTTGTTGCCATCAAATAAAAATACCTTTTTATAGAAGGCCCTTTATATGGAAGGGCGGCATATAAATTGCAATAAATAAATAAATAAATAAATAAATAAATAAATAAATAAATAAATAACTCTTCTAATGTTTATTTCTCAAAACTAACCTTATAGAGTAGGTTACAACAATTTGAAAACATTAATTAGTAGTTGGCCCGTTATCTTCCATCCACATTAATACACCTGAACACTTCATTCTAATATTCTGCTTATATCTGCTTATATATTCTGCTTATATCTACGGGAACAATGAGAACAATCAATGCATCTCCTTGTTAAGTACAGGTAGTCCTCAACTTGCAACAGTTCACTTAGTGACCGTTTGAAGTTATACTGGCACTGAAAAAAGTGACTTATGACCATTTTTCACACTTGCAGCATCCCCATGGTCACGTGATTTACATGCAGATGCTTGACAACTGACTCACATTTATGACGGTTGCAGTGTCCCAGAGTCATGTGATCCTCTTGCGATCTTCTGACAAGCAACGTCAATGGGGCAGCCGGATTCACTTAACAACCATTTTACTATTTTAAGAACTGTAGTGATTCACTTAACAAATGTGGAGAAAAAAGTCGTAAAGTGCGACAAAATTCACTTAACAAATTGGCAACATAAATTTTGGGCTCAATTGTTGTTGTAAGTTGAGGACTACCTGAATGTGTGTCTATAGAACAAAAAAATAATTAACACATCACTTTCTGTTATTATATTAAAAAGTGCATATTCAGCTGAAAACTTCAAGCTCAGTATCAGTGGTATCCTTCATAGAAATAATGCCTATATTCTAAGCATTGCTTAGACTGATGCTTATAAGGCAAATACTGTTAAGTGATACTGCTATGATGCATGTTTGGTTTCATGTTTGGCAAAGAAAATCAGGAAAATGTACACAAGAGTTTACAATGGTGCTTACAAGTTTGTGAACCCTTTGGAATGTTAAACATTTTTGCGTAAGTATGACCTAAAACATTGTCAGTTTTCCACAAAAGTCCTAAAACTAGATAAAGTGAACCCAATTAAACAAATGTCTCAAAGTCATTTTATTTACTGTATTTTTCAGAGTATAAGACACACCTTTCTCCCCCCTAAAAGGAGGTGAAAATTTAGGTGCATCTTATACACAGAATGTAGCCCTGCCCACCCACTGGCCCGCACCCTTTGGTCTCTGCATCGCAGCAGTTACCTCCTTGCAAGCAAACAGCAAGAAAAAACAGCTTCTTTCAGCTTCAGCACAGCCTAATTAGCACAAGTTGATTGGATCGGCCTCCCGACTCTCAGCTGATTTTGATCTGTCCCCATCTACATACACACACAAACACAGCCAGCCGAGGGTTAAGAAAGTACTTGGCACGCACACAGGTCATTATCTCAAACTTGGCAACAATATAAGCACCGTCTGCCAAAAGCTTTACTGCAACAGATAACATAAAATTACATACGCATTGCAAATAGTCCAGCAAAATAATATCCCTTCGGCAGCTTCAGACGTTGTTCAAGTGACTAGCCAGAGTTAGTTTTTGTTCGTCACAGATTTTTACCAGCCACCACCCTCTTTTATATAGTCTCTGGGGTGTGGTCCAGTGACTCAGCTATAATCCCTAGCACGCCTCCTTAACTGCTGCAACCGTTTATCACGCCTTCATTGGCGTGCATCCAGGAATGACAGCTCTCCTTCCTCGCCCTCATCAGAGACACCTGGCTCCTGGCCAATCTCCCCTTCCTCGGCCGGCACCTGAGGCAGTGCCAGAGGGGAGGGGCCTGGAGAGGGAGGCCTAGCTGACTCCTCTCCCTCATGTTCGGAGCCTTCTTCCTCCGATGAGATAGGCTCAGAGGGCGGGGCCACAACAGATTTGCTCTCAGCTGTTTTGCGCAGGGCTCTGCTGCTTGCTACAAAGAGGTAAATTTCTGGAGCAGATTTTTTTTTTCCTTGTGCTAATCAAGCTATTCTGAAAACGAAAATGAAAGTAAAGCAGGCTGTTTGCTGCAAAGAGGCAAAATTGCTCAAAGGCAAAGGGAGATTTCTTTTTCTTCTTTTTCTCACCAAAAAAGATAGGTGCGTCTTATACTCCGGTGCATCTTATACTCCAAAAAATACGGTATTCATTTATATATTGGGGAAAATAATCCTGGGTCGGGCTAAGAGTTTCAGGTGTTACAGAGGTTAGGTGCCACAACTGAAAAGACATGCTTCTTGGCATTCTTTAATTGATTCAAGCAAGAGAGTGCTCCTGCTACCAGATTTGGTAGAACAGGAGATAGGTGGTCCTTTAATAAATTTATTAGTTAAATAACTAAATAAAATGCTGTGCTTCTTATAAACTTTAATACTTTAACACTGATAATTTTCAATACCTTGCTTCTTATTAGATCAGTAAAAACATATCTACTTCACCATCTTATAAAGCATTTTTGTATTGCTCACTAAAAAAATATAGAAAAACACAGTTTGAGAAAGTAGAAAGTTGCTTTAAGATGTTAAACTTTAAACATCAAATATCAAATAATTGTAAAATGATCTAGAAATGATGAGATAGTTACGTTGCTAAATACATTAAAGGTTCCATACAAAATATCTTCTAATCTGTTTCTTTATGAAAATTTATTTTCTTACCATCCTGAAATCAATAGAATGATGGTACTTCTTCATACATGAACAAACATTCATTTTAACTGACTTTTTGTCTTCTAATAGGATGGAAAAACAGCAGAAGATTTGGCTAGAGCAGAGCAGCATGACCATGTAGCTAGTCTGCTTACAAGGTTGAAAAAGGTAAAGGAATGAAATTGCACTATTATTTATATTTAAATTTATATCCTATCTTTCTGTTTTTTTATTTAAGTAAGTTCTCAGAGCATCTTAGAGTAAGCACACAAAGTGACTTATAATGAAGAATCAAGCTTTGTATCACTTCCACCTAACACTTTAAAAGGCGTTATGAAAAAATGTTTCAAGAAATTTGGAAACAGTGATTATCTAATAATTTCTTGTCAGTTCTCAATTTGACAGAGTTCTGTAGGAGTCTTGAGGGAATTCTGAGAATCAAGTAAACATGAAGCAATGAATATCTTAATTATAAGAGAATCCTAGTTTTAGTTTAATTATAAAATAAAAATGCAGGTAATTTTGATATTAATTGAAATTGTTTAGTGAAAAAGAACAAATTTCATTTGAATAGTAATAATGGCTTAAAATGCAGTATAGCAGGCTAACTGCTCACACTGCCAGGAGTTTGATTCCTTTGATCCTGCCCAGCTGAAGGTTGATTTGGCCTTCCATCCTTCCGAGGTCAGTAAAATAAGGCCCCAGATTGTTGGGGGCAATATGCTGACTGTATACTGCTTAGAGAGAGCTATAAAGCAGTGTGAAGTGATATATAACTCTAAGTGCTATTGCTATTGCCATTTAGCCACAACTTACAAAGCCTATAAGTCACAGGGAGTTAGGTGGCATATAATTGCCTAACTGGCATATATGAATGTGAAATCACAGCTGCTAATTCTTTAGCTACTGTTCACCTTCATATACATTGAATTCTTCCCAAGAACTCAGGATGTCATAATGTATTGGTGATATGCACTGATCCAAGGATTGTAGCCTTTTGTAATTGCTAGATGGAAATTTTGTCAATGGGCAGATTTTCTAAGTGCTGTTCAATATTTTTTTTAATATGACACCCAGTGTGTCGATAACCACTGAGACCACCATGGTTGCTTTATGCCATAATCTTTAGATATTCTCCAACGTTTGTCATCTGTTCTTATTATTCTTATTACATCGTCCATTGCCTTATTCATTCATTCATTGGATTTGTATAGCCACCCATTTCACATTTCACATACATGACTCTAAGCAGCTTGCAATAAAATAGATAAGTATAAAACGTAAAACATATAGCAGCTGAGCATCAGTGAACTCTACCCATCTAGTTTAGAAATTTTAGGAAGGCCTATCAGTTCTCCCATCTCTGTTAAATAGTCATGGAATAAGCTTTTGATGCTGGCAAATAGGCATGGGCATCCTTGTAGGCATGGCCATGTTGGTTGTATTTTTAATTTATTATTTTATTTTTGTGTTATTTGTATTTAATTCACTTTGTTCTAAATTATCTAGAAATTTAAATCATATTTAAATAATGATTTGTAATTTTAATCAGAATGCTAAATCTGGATAGCTGTCTTTTTTTTTTTTTTGAAAATATATTACAAAGTATATTTAGTCTAATATTTGTCATCATAACTTTGTATCTGATTTAATACCTGTTTTATCTTTAGGATACACATAGGGCATTATTCATCCAGCATCTTAGACCTACTCATAATCTACAGCCAAGAATAAAAATTAAACTCTTTGGCCACTCTGCATCTGGGAAAACAACTCTTGTGGAATCTTTAAAGTGTGGGCTACTAAGAAGCTTCTTCAGAAGGCGCAGACCTAGGCTCGCTTCTACAAATTCTGTCCGATTTCCTCCTTCACCTTTATCTAATAAGCCAACAGGTACCACTTTTAAGGATGTTTATTTTGTGTTACCAGCACTGGAAAAACATTATAATAAGAATAGGTCTTTTCATTATGTATTTATGGTAGTGTGGCCACATTCTGTAATGCAATTCTGCACTCCTTTGTAAACGGAGGTTGAATGGAATGATTCTTTTTAGAGAGAAATCTATGCCATCACGAAAGCAAATGCATACTCAGGTGGAAGAAAAGTTGTACTTCAAAATAGTAGAGCATTGTCAGTGTAGCGATGAAAGTGAAATTTGTTTCATTTTGCTAGACAGCCTGTTTTCTGTTTCAGTGATACATTAAGGTAGTAGCATTTGGTCTCACAAGTCATGATGATCTATTCAGTATTTGGATAATAGATCACCAGGGCTTAGATGGATAGTAGGCTAAACTAGAAAGCTGAAAAAGCATCTCTAAAGTTAGTAATATCAAACTGTGGTCAGTGAAACAGCGTGATTGTCTCTCTGTAGTTACTATGAGTCAATCTCCATCCGAGAGCATCTTTATGTTTCATAATTATCTAAGGTTTAAAATGGACAAGGTATGAAAAGTAATAACACACTGGAATTCATTATAGTTAATTGTGAAGGAAGTATGTTTTTCTACTGTCCAAATGTTTTTATAGTACAGGAAAATGCAATATCCCTGAGGCATATATCTAGCCTTCTACCCATCTTTATATCTGAAATAAATTAGTGAAATAATTAGTAAATATGCTTCTGAATTGATTGCCTTAGCTAAGCCTTTCACAGCAATAATAGTCAAATTGTTAAGTAGGGCTTCTGAGAACAGATTGTTAGTGCTTAAGGCACCCCAGTCTCTTGCCCTCCCCCCCAAAAAATGAGATTTAATTATTATTATTGCCAATCTTGAGCTATCACAAAAGCTTTATTCCACATGATAAAAACCAAAAGCTTTCAAGGGTTTTTTTCCAAGTGATATCTCATAAAACATCAACATTTCACAAGGTCTTACAAGATTTGAGGGCAGGAAGCCTGGGAATTATTCACAATTGCACACTGTGTTAATAAAGATTTTGCAACCACACCATTGCAAAAAAAAAAAAAAAAAAAGTACAGTGTGGTTCGGTGTCCAATGGTTTCTTTTGTAAATTAGAAACAAAATAGTTTATATTCCATAGTGATCTTAAGTATTTTAAAATAGCTTATATTCCATTATGATCATAAGTGTTTTTATATTTTACACTATTATCTTTTAAAACAAATCTCTTCTGTGGGTTGTCGTTTATAGCTATTATGCTTAAGAACTTTCAATGAGGCATTTGTTAGGATTCTTTTTTTCACTTAACTTTAAGTGTTTTAACAGATCATCCTTTGGAAATCTGCATGATAAGTAAGGTAAAGTTTTTCTTGTAAAGCATCATGTTTGTTTTTACTCTGAATAAATACTTTATATTCGGGCTGTCCAAGATTGACAGCATTAAGACTTGTGGACTTCAACTCCAGAATTTCCAGCCAGCATGGCTGGCTATGGAATTCTGGGAATTAAAGTCCACAAATCGTAAAACTTGCCAAGGTTGGACAGCCCGAATATAAAGTATCTATTCAGAGTAAAAACAAGGTTTCAAAATTAGATGGGAGGTAAGTTCCCATTACTTGTTTAATTCTTGAGTACTTAGTCTTTAATGTCTGTTAAGAGAAAATAGATCAGGTCAAGGCCCTTGAGAAAGAAGCTTGATTTAATCACCCAAATGCCTTATTTGTTCATTGGTTTTTAACACAGTGTGAACAAAATAAAAATATTTTGCCACATTTTGAACAGGATATTGTCAGACTGAGGTGTGTCTACAGATGGGGAATCAGAATGCTAAGAAATCTCAAAATCAAATCCTATAAAGAATACTTGTAAAACAGACCAAAGAATAGAAGAATTTTCCATGATAGCTATATTGAAATATCTAAAGTGTTGTCACGTACTATACAAAAATAAAACAGGAAGGTTCTTTGTTGCTCTAGAAGAGAGATTAGAGCCCCTAAACTAAAATTTCATAGAGATTTATTTTAGTTTAAGAGTAAAACTATCCTAATCTAATTAGGTTATCTAACAGGATGATAACTTAAGTTTTGATAGGATGAATTGTTATCTCAAAAAATTGCTTCTCTATCAAGGTCAGCAATGTTTTCCAGGAACAGGGCTTGAATATCTGGAAATAACCTCCTTCATTTCTTTTATTTGGAGCTTGCCAGTGTTTGCTTTTATTGGGATGCAAAATTGAAAAATAGTAACTGGTTTTTCTTCTAGAGCACTGGGGAAAAAAGTTCACTGAAAAACAGAATATAATTTTGAGATGTGATTCCTAGTGAATTATTGAAAACTGATATTAAGCAGCTTGCTTAGTTTTGCTGACTCTTTTATTGACAAAGGGCACTCCTTTTGGATTCCTGAGGACTGAATGCAGTATTAGAGTGGTCCATCTGGAAAACAGGGACAGAACTGAGCCAGTCAGATATCAAAAAATTGATTTAGGCAGGAAGATCAAAAAAGAATATGCATTCCATCCCTATTGGAAATTGTGACATTGGTTGAGAAGCAAGTCAGAGACAGGAGATGAAAATCTGAGCCATATAATAACTTGTTCCATCTGGTAAAGAAATGCACCAGCATTTCCTGGGCAGCTTTGGATGTGTTGCATGGAGAGATAGGATCTAGTTTTAAAAATGTGGTTCAATTTCTATTCAACTCTGCCCTTGACATGTCTGAAGTCAAAGCAATCAACCAAATTGTTGTATTGCTCCCAGATCTGTATTCATAAAGATTGCAGATCACTATATTCTCTTCAGTCAAAAATTTGAAAATATGCCCTTTGGATTCCTCAATATATTTGTTGGGCTTTTGAAACTTGGAATGAAAGATAGCCTTCTTGAACACACACTTTTTTTGATTGAACCTTTGGCCTCCATCATATTCCTGAATGGTTACATTTTATATGAGAAATTGGAAATTAACTTTGATTTTGCAGGTTCTGTGGATAAGGTCTGATCAAGTTGCCTTTTGAAACAGAAAAAACTGAAATCAGTCAATGGGTATTGGAGCAGATCATCAAAGTCTTGAATATTCTGCCATGCAACCCTTTTGTTCTTTGTTCTTACTTGTGGCATCATGACAGCTGCATCCTTTGGAAAATTCATGCACAATGTCAAAGGTTGCACCTGTTTGTCAACACAACTGTGTATACATACAGTCATTTAACTTCATTATCAGTTGGCAGTTACAGTGCTTCAAGGACAGGTGCTTGACTTGCACTAACTCACTTTGAATCTATGTTCTGATGTTTACTCCTGTTGAACATGATCTGCCATTTCTTAGCAGAGTTAACTTGAGGATCGATGTATCTACTATTTATTTAACCTGACCTGTGCTTCACATCTAAGAATTTTCTTCTTACCTACAGTATGATAAATATATTACTCTCAATGTTTTTGGACGAAATCCTGCACTTAATGCATTTGGTTGTGTAGAATCTGAAAATATCCTTTACTATGGGGTAACTATTTTAACCTATTAATACTTTTTCTAAACAAATATAGTAGTAAGGCAAATAATTAATATAGTACCGTAATATATAAGCCACCTACATTGAAAATCCCTAAATTTATTCCATCTTTATCTCTGTATGTAGTCAAAAGTTATTTATGGTTTAAGGGAAAGTTTACTGTTAGAATCATGATCATTTTTCAATGGTAATATATTTATTATTATTAGATTTATATTCCTGCTTTTTGCCATAGAAGTTGAAAGACCCTCCTCTTAGTTTTCCCAACAATAGTAACCTTGTGAGTCAGGTTTGGCTGAGAGAATGTGGCTGACTCAGTGCCCTTCCTAATCCAGCATTTTAAGACAACATCTAATGACTTTTTAATCTAAAAGTATGCTAAAGTTTAATGCTATGTAAAATGGTCCAATAGTATACAAAGGCTGTTTATTTAATTCATACATTTGGAAAATATATTTCCATTTGTATATATGCCATATTTTCAAGGTGTGAGAAAATTCTCTGCTTTAAACAGATTTTACCTTTCTTATATCTAGAGAAAAGGAATTCATTCCACTGAATCCACTGAATTACTTGCCTAAGGCTGAAAGTGAAATCATTAGTCAATGCCTATCCCCTCTTTTTATTCAGATTATTTAAATCATTAAGACACTTCTTAATTTCTTAAACATTAAAGATTAAAACTTATTTAAAGAGGTTTGCAGATAATCCTGTTCACCTATATTAAAAATATAGAACGTTTTAAAGATATTGGTGTAGTAACTTGGTTCTCCACTAGAGGTTAGAAGAGTACAAATATATATAAAAAGAAGTTAAGGCCTATCAGGCAAATCTCTCTGTTTATTCCTCCACTTGGAAAATAGTTTCTTTTATGATACAGAGTAGCATATTGATATTCTAAGTGAAAGTGCTTTCAAATTGGAAGAAGCCTCTGAGCAACTTCAGAAGATTTCACCTTCCAGTTCAGTGGTTACAGCGCAGTGTATACTGTTCAGGAGATTCCAGCATCCTCAGTCAAGATTTAATACAGAAGAAAAAGGGTAAACAAATTGCCTTCATAATCATCCATATGGATGCACGGTGCATGTGCAGATGGGAATTCTGATGTTCATTAAATTACATTACATTAAATAATTAAAAATCTAGCTGTTTGGTTTAACATTTTTATTGAGTTATAAAGTATTATAAAATAGAAAAGTAAATAGAAAAGCAATGGGGGGAAGGGGGGAAAAAGGTGAAGAAAGATAAGAAAAAGAAGCACTGACTTCCGAATCTCTCTGTTACAGTAAAATAAGGCATTGACATCAAATCACAACTTTTTGCTTTTTCATAATAATATGAATGAGCCATTTCTATAAAGATCTATCAGTCTAATCGATAAAACCCAAAATCAAAGTTTCATTCTTTTCCATGTGCAGATGGGAATTCCGATATTCATTACATTACATTATATTACATAATTAAAAACCCAGCTATTTGACTTTGGGCCAATCAGTCTCTCTCTCAGGCCAACTCACCTCACAAGATTGTTGTTGTGGGGGAAAATAGGAGGAAAAAGAAAGAATATTAGCTATGTTCACCACCTTAAGTTATTTATTTATAAAAAATAAAAATAGATATTTGGAGGCCCACAAATTGGGAAAGGTTAAATATCAAAATAATAAATAATTTCTTCTTGGGAATCTTACCGATTTTGCTCACTTTCTTTTGTTTTTTATTCATAATTGGGAATGTGAGGAAAAAATGTGCAAAAAGGGCTGTTCCCAAAAACTTAAGTCTTTTCTAAGGAAAATGGATGGCTCTGACTGCTGATGGTACTGGGACTTTTCATCATCTTACCAAGCCTGCATTTTTACCGCTTTTAATTTCACAGAGTTTGAAATCATTATGTGGCCAATTTTCCAAAGTTTGCAATCTTTAATTTATATTCTTTCTCTAATCCAGTTTCAGTAAGTATTTCAAATCTGTATCCTGGCTGTGAGAATGTTAGCGTGAGAAGCCGAAGCATGATGTTTGAGCCGGGCCTGACCAAAGGGATGTTGGAAGTATTTGTTTCTCCCTCACATCATTCCCACTGCTCCATGGATGATCAGTCCACAAAGTGCATTGATGTGCAGAATGCTTATTTGAATGGTAAAGCATAAACTTTGGTGCATTATAAATTTTTTAAATATCACTGTCAGGGTCTTTGATGCAAATAAGTTCTACTTTAAATATTTATGCATTGCATTAAATATTTTCAGTACTTCAGCAACATTTACTTTTTTTGAATCTTGAATATACAACGTTCCGTGTAATAAATAGTAAGTTCATTATAAGCAGCGTAAAGGTAAAGGTTCCCCTCGCACATATGTGCTAGTCATTCCCGACTCTAGGGGACGGTGCTCATCTCCGTTTTAAAGCCAAAGAGCCAGTACTGTCTGAAGACATCTCTGTGGTCATGTGGCTGGCATGACTAAATGCCAAAGACGCACAGAACACTGTTACCTTCCCACCAAAGGTGGTCCCTATTTTTCTATTTGTATTTTTTATGTACTTTTGAACTGCTACCCTGTGTCCCCAAAAATAAGACATCACCCTGATAATAAGCCCAATTGGGCTTTTGAGTGGATGTGCTAAAATAAGCCTCCCCCAAAAAATAAGTCCTCCCCAAAAATATTTAAATGCAGAGCTGGAAATCAGGTAAGATGGCAAGAGGTGCCCCATCTTGCTTCACACGCCCCAAAATAATAAGACCTCCGCAAAAATAAGGCCAAGCACTTTTTTCGGGGTTCAAAAAAATATAAGACAGGGTCTTATTTTTGGGGAAACACAGTAGGTTGGCAGAAGCTGGGACAAGTAACAGGAGCTCACCCCGTTACACGGCACTAGGGATTCGAACTGCTGAACTGCTGACCTTTCTCAGTGCTTAAATCTAACTGCAGCAATCAGATTCTATGGTGCACATGAGGCCAATCCCAAGAACTGGGAGTTTAAGAAAAGCTACATTTGCTCCCTGGTGCACATGAGGCCAATCCCAAGAACTGCTGAGTTTAAGAAAAGCTACATTTGCACCCTGTGAACTCTTAAGTACCTTTTGCCTTTGTATTTCCCCAAAATGCTTCCTGTTCTTAATGATCACTTAATTTCAATACATCTGGAATTAATTTTAGCACTAAATTTTGTGCTTAAGTACAAGCTACTTTTTTCACTGGATTTATTGTAGCACTTTTTAAAGGTTAATTCTGAATAAGTTAAAAGTAAATGGAGCAGGGAGAGATCTAAATGGAGTCTTATAGGTAGTTTATCAAGTAGTGGGACGTCCAGCCAAGGTAGAACAGTCTGAGAAATACATATTCTCTCTGGAAATAAGAATGTTTTATTAACATTTCATAACTTCTTTCATTTATTAATTTGATAACAAACTTTTTGCTCTTGTAGGAATTGGTGATTTCAGTGTATGGGAATTCTCTGGAAATCCTGTCTATTTCTGCTGCTACGATTATTTTGCTGCAAATGACCCCACCTCAGTTCACATTGTGCTTTTTAGTCTTGAAGAACCTTATGAAATACAATTGAATCAAGTGACCTTTTGGCTTAGTTTCTTAAAATCATTAGTTCCGGTTGAAGAACCTATAGGTATGTCTATTTACATGATGCCAAATCATCTGTATCTGAAGAGAAACAGCTGAATTTTTCATAAATTTTTCATAAATTTTTCACTGAGATTACTGATGAGATATCTGTTAGTCATATTGTCTTAAATTTCTTATAAAATGTATCCATTAATGTGATTGCTCTATACATTAGAAAAGATTTGATTCATGTAATTCAGGATCATCTTCACTTTATTTCCGTGAAGTATTTTTCACCTGTTATGTGACATTTTCATTGAAAAACAGAATTAAAATGCATTGATTAAGTTTCTGTCCAAACTCATGTTGCTAAACTCATGTTCAGCAATGTTGCTAAAACTTTAATTAAATGGTCACATCATGGGATTGAAAGGTTTTTATTCCATGCTGAGACCATTAAAAATAACCTGCTCGTATTTTAATGTTGCTATTTATTTCTCCTGTGCAAAGCTTTCGGTGATGGAATTTGCTTTCTCAGCTATGCAGATAGTGTCTTTTTTTCATTTAACCTCTCCCCCCCCCCCACACCGCCTCAAGACTTTTGAAGGTCCTTGAACCAGCCGTGCCACATCTTTAAATGGCTGCAGCCTCTTCTTGGCTTTGAGATTTAGTTCCCTTCGGGACACCTCCCTTGCAAGAAGAGTATCTCCTTGAATGATTTGCATAGGCTGGGTATTTATCTTTTGCAAACAGTCACTCAATTTACATGGAGGATTAATTGGCTTTTCCCAAGTCAGCTGTACATACATTCCTCTTCATTGCACATTCATTCATTTTTTTTTCCTTTGGGAAGATTTATTCCATCAACAACTTAGAGAAAATGAATTCTGGAGCTAAGAATTTTTCCATATATTTCAACAGTCGCTGAAGTGTATATTTATTTTTAATGTGCATAGATGTTTATTATTAACATTTAACTTTATTTTCAGTGCAGCCTTTTTGCACATCATCAAGAACCAATATTGATTACATTCTGAGAAACATTTATACTGTTAGAAGTAATAATTCCTATACAATTGTATCTGTGTTTATATTCAAAAAAGAAAAAAGTTTGAATGTGTTTTTGCATTATTTGCATTTAGGATGTATTGGTTCTTGCTCATGTTGATTTTTGTGGTGCTGCTACTGACATCTGTTTTAATTCAATAATTACTACAAGGTTTAAACCACTATTTTCAAAAAAACATGACATGTTATTTCCCCAGATGATGTATTTGTGAAAAGTTGTCTTTAGTGTTACCTCATTCTTGTCCCAAATGTATCTCTTTCTCACTCTCTCTCACTTTCCCATTCTTTTTCATGTTATCTTCAAGGCTTTCATACTTAATTCTCTCTTACATGAGAATGCTTTGTGTAAGTACTGTAAAGTTGCATTCATACCATTGTATGAATGGGTTTTAGATCAGTTGTTCCTTGCCTGTAACATCTACCATAAATTTGCAGTACTGTAGATTATTGTATCTAATAGATAGTCTTTTTAAAAACCCTCCAAAATTTAAATTATAAATAGACAGATTATGACTATTTATTCCCATTTATAATGTGTTTTCTTTATTTCATAAAATGGAGCGGTATGAATAAACGTAGAATAAATGTAGCCATTCTCTTCAGACCAAGAACACATATAGAAGCATATTACAGTACCAGGAAGAAAAATCTGTTTGTTCTGAAATTCTTCATTCTTTGTCTCCTGAAGCATTTGGAGGAAAGCTGAAAACTCCACTTCATGTTGCACTGGTGGCTACACATGCAGATATTGTTAATCTTCCACGTTCTGCTGGAGGAGAGTTCCAATATGACAAAGATACATCACTTTTGAAAGAAATTAGGAATAGGTAAGAGAGAAAACATTGTATAAATTACAGGAGTACCTGCCATATTTTGAAACTAACTGAAACTAACTGAATTGAGTTAACATTGTTTTTTTAAAGAAAAATAAGGCATTCCATGCACAGGAAAAGTCCATATTAATTATACTCAAGAAGCAATCATTTTCTAATTTAGGAGTGTGTTGCCACCATCTTGAAGGTTTTTCCTCACTTTCCATGCATTAGCACAGTGTTTCTCATCTTTGGTCACGTGAAGATGTCTGACTTCAACTCCCAAAATTCTAGGAGTTGAAGAATAGAATGGATAGAACAGGGATCTGCAATCTTAAACACTCAAAGAGCCATTTGGACCCCTTTCCCACAGAAAAGAAAACACCGGGAGCCACAAAAAGCTTCCCATGCCTGACTATATCTTGAGGGGCCACAGAACTAACGTGTAGTTGAATTAAACGTTCTGTTTTCTTCTGAAACTTTTCTTTTCTTGGATTGATCCATGGTTGGCCTACCGGGGGTTGAAAAGCTCAATAAATATTGTGCCACATCGCACATTGGCAGTTGTGATGCGTGTTTTGAGTGATAGGGAGCCACAGCACAGGGGTGAAAGAGCCACATGCAGCTCCAGAGCCGCAGGTTGCTGATCCCTGGACTAGAAGCTTAGTATTGTAGAATGGACTAGAAGCTTCTATTATCTATAAAGCTTTTAATACATTTTAGTTTTTTATTCCAGTGTAAATTTATTCTAGATTCAGTAGTTTAAGCAAAGTAGAACCATGAGTTCCTGATCAATCTGTATTAAACATTTGTTACAATAGATTTCTGACTTAAGAAATAGAAAAATGAACTATGTTTAAAATAAATTTAAAAAACCATCCAGTCTCCCTTTATTCTTGGAGAACCTGAGTAAGGGGCCAGAATAACCCCTTTCAGAGGGAAATGGGTAATTAAATATGAAATATAGATAAAATAAGAATAAATAAAAGAAGTAGTTGAAATAAAAATGAGTGATTCAGTTTAATGGAACTGGCTTTCAAATACACAGAGTCAAACAGCAAGTGGAATGCTCCATTTGTAATCTCAAGAAAGATTTTAATCTGCCAAAATTATTCAGTTAGTAAAATTGAGTTTTGGGGCTAAAATGATAATTATTTCTCCTCCCGGCCCGGGTTTTTTTTTTTTAGGTTTGGGAATGATGTTCACATTTTGGACAGATTATTTATTCTAGATGCTGGAGCATCAGGTTCAAAAGATATGAAGATCCTCCGATACCATCTTCAAGAGTTACGCAGTCAGATTATCTCTGTAAGTTATATGTACAGCCATGGTGTAGTCACTGACCAGGTCCTTACCTATTTTGAATGCAACCACAGTTATGTCACTCTTTCTGATATCGGAGAATGTTAACAATAATAGTTGGGTTGGAGTCACATCTATATGAATTAGAATGGAAATGTACTGTTTTGCTTATTAAGTTTTTATTATAATACATCTGTTTTTTAAAACATGTCACAACAATGCTGAACTTATTTTGGTGGAAGAGTTCCTGCCCATTTTTTAGAAGACAGCATTGTTCTCCAACCTAGTGGCATGAAAGAATATCCTATTTATCCACTTAATACAACTTTCAATTGCTATACCAAGTGAAAAAGGCAATTTCAGAGTCATTTATATGAAATAAGAAAAGTAATCCAAACAATAGAGAGATAAGAGGAAAGGAAACTCAACTTCAGGTGGGATGGCTGCATTGATTGGAGAAATTAAATCTTTTTCATGAAACAGGTTCAAGTTTCATCTAACCATTGAATAAAAAATACATTTGCACAATTACATGAAGTATATGTCAGTAATCTTAGTGTAATTGGCAATTACACTTACAGGCAATAAAAGATGTATATTGCTAAATAAAATTATTTTGTTAAAATGATATATTAAATGAAATCTAAGCAACAATAACAGTTTGCATTCTAGAAACCAAGTCTACTATGATTTTTTTTTCATAGACATGTCCACCTATGACTCACTTGTGTGAAAAAATAATTTCCACTCTACCATCATGGAGAAAAATAAATGGGCCCAATCAGCTCATGTCCCTTCAACAGTTTGTATATGATGTGCAAGATCAACTTAATCCATTAGCAAGTGAAGATGAGATTAGGCATATAGCCCTCCAGCTACACAGTATAGGCGAAGTAAGTAATACATTAATTACATGGATAATTCTATAGAAATGTTAATTATATAAAATTTTATGAAGTGCAATTTGCCTATCAGACTGGTTGCAAATTGTTGCTCCTACTAAGTTTTTCTTTTCTAAGTTCTACAGGCGTGCAAAACATACAGTAGAGAAACCAAGCAGAACCTACTTCCTGTTTCAGCACTAACAGAAACTACATTTATGCCAACTGGTGTTTTTAAAAGATAGAAACAGCTTGTTTCTTTCTCTTGCAAAGTTCAATATATTATTAAAGGCCATGAGTGAATTTACAACTTAGAGAAATTCATACTACATTGAATAGGGTCATTGCCATGTGAAAAGATTTATGGTAGCCTAGTAGTTAAGAAAAATAGATTTATAGGCAGTCCTCACTTAATGACCACAATTGAGCTTCGATTTTTGGTCATAAGTCACTGCAGTCATTAAGTGGGTCATCAATGACTTGTCTCAGTTTTATAATCATTTTTACAATTGGCATAAAGTGAATCAGCATGGTCATTAAACAAAACACATATAGGACACTAAAGTTAGGGGTTTTTTTCTCTTGAAAGCTAGAAATTACATGAGGAATGCTTCACAATATGGTGTGTTTGTCACCAATGTGTGCATAAATAAAGTCTTGAATAAATTGGGAAGAAAACTGGAACAAAACAATCTTTTTCTAGTTTTTTTCCTGTGTTCAGAAACTGAATCCTGCTCAGGATTAGGGTTAGCATTAGGATGGATAGGATTCTACTCATTTGTACTCAATTGGATATGCTATCATAGGTATCTGAACATTTGAATATCAAAGCTCTTATAATTGTCTGGTTGAAAAACCATGGGGACTGTTGTAGATCTTGTCCTTTCTCTTTCATGTATATATGATTATTAACTATGTGACTTTTATCTTTCTAAACAGATCAACATCATGCAGAGTGAGACAGTCCAAGATGTTGTTCTGCTGGATCCTCGCTGGTTATGTTCAAATGTCCTTGGAAGACTTTTGTCTATAGAGAATCCTAAAGCCCTCCACCACTACAGAGGTCGATATACAATAGAGGACATCCAGCGCCTTATACCAGACAGTGATGTAGAAGAACTTATCCAAGTCTTGGATGCCATGGACATCTGTGCCAGAGATGTCAGCAGTGGAACAATGATTGATATTCCAGCCTTGATTAAGACTGATAGCCTCCATAGGTCTTGGGCTGATGAAGAAGATGAAGTTATGATTTACGGTGGTGTTAGAATTGCTCCTGTGGAACATCTAACCCCACTTCCTTGTGGCATTTTTCATAAAGTTCAGGTGAATCTGTGTCGATGGATTCATCAACAAAGCACAGAGGGAGATGCAGATATACGTTTGTGGGTCAATGGATCAAAGATTATGAACCGTGGAGCTGAACTTCTTGTACTGCTTGTCAACAATGGTCAGGGTATTGAGGTTCAAGTTAGAGGCTTGGAAATGGAGAAGATTAAATGCTGCTTATTCCTGGACTCTGTATGCAGTACCATTGATAATTTGATAGCCACCACATTGCCAGGGCTGTTGACAGTCAAACATTATCTCAGTCCTCAGCAGCTGAGGGAACATCATGAGCCAATCATGATTTACCAGCCAAGAGATTTTTTCCGCGCACAAAGTCAAAAAGAGACCTCCTTGACTAATACCATGGGTGGTTACAAAGAAAGTTTTAGCAGCATATTGTGCTTTGGGTGTCTTGATGTTTACTCACAAGGAAGTTTAGGAATGGATATCCATGTATCAGATTTGAATCTACTTACAAGGAGGAAACTGAGCCGACTTTTGGATCCACTTGATCCTATGGGCAAGGATTGGTGCCTTCTTGCAATGAACTTGGGCCTCCCTGATCTGGTCGCAAAGCATAATATAAACAATGGGAGTTCCAATGACTTCATCTCCAGTCCATCCTACTCCCTTCTCCAGGAATGGGGAAATGCCCCTGAAAGTACTGTGGGTATTCTGATGTCTAAGCTGAGGGAACTGGGCCGCAGAGACGCAGCTGACTTTTTATTGAAAGCATCTTCTGTGTTCAGAGTCAGTTTTGATGCAAATGGTCAGGAAGCTTATGCTTCAAGCTGTAATAGTGGGACATCTTATAATTCAATTAGTTCAGTCGTCTCTCGATAAAAGTAATAATGTGGAACTTTTTCTAATTTCAGCTAATGCGAAAGGATTCAGGATGGCAATCTTTTTTGGTATTTATAAGTTCTATATATTACTGTAATAAGTTGTCTCTGTTCCTCCACATTGCTTTATAAGTGACTAAAACCCTGAAACATTGCTTTTTAAGTAACACGTTGCTCTTACTTTAGTTATAAAAGACTAGTATAATTTCAGCTATTTTGCAATCTGCTTTTTAATGATTATTGTACTTTTTTGAATTCTATTGGTTTAACTGTTTAATTCTTCAATAGCTGGTCATTTTAACAAACCATCGTTCCTTGTACCGAAAACTGCACAATAATTAAGCTACATTTCTTACATACTCTTTTCCCCCTTTGTTTTATTTTAAAAACATAGATAGCCAAACAATGCTAATTGGTTTGGATTTGAACACCATGCTTAGAAATGAAAAAGTGAGTGCCTTTTGCAGAAAACTCATGTGGTTAAAATCAAGTTGTTTCTGTGGAAGCTGTAAGACAATGCTACCTCTATTTCATGTCTGCATGCTGGTTGTTGCAAGTGGTTGTTGCCTTTGTGTGTCATAAAGCATAAGATACTTGGTAACATGAAATCTGTTCCACTGAAGAGCTCTCATGTAGACTATCATGAGGGTAGAAATATGTAAGACGTTATGTTTATTCCGTTGAAGTGGAATGAAAACTTTCGAACTCCATGAACTTGCACCTTCCATTATTTCTACATATCTCAGGTAAAGATTTTACACAAATGTAAAGTTCACCAAGGCACATATACAAGTGTTAGCTAACTATGACTTATTCTGTATTTAACGGTGATCATTTGTGCAAAGCAAATGGTTTTTCACTTTCAGATACTAGTGTGCTTATTTCTTATACTTGAACGTTTAATTTCATTTTGTTTTTATTAAAGCAAGAGCTTAAAATTACTATGAGAGAAAATGACTTTCTTCTTTTCTGAAAAGCATGTAATATTAAAGGTACACTATATATTATGTGTATATACATATATAATATATGTATATATTAATACTGTTTTCCTTAATCTTTGTTGTAGTACAATTTTAAAATTTTTTACGAATAAATTGTTGCCTGTTGCAACTTTTTCATCATTCTTCATTTCCTATTTGCATTCATATCATTAATTACATTAATTATTTGGTTTATGGGCATGCAGAACAAATAGCTCTTGATTTTAACTATCTAGCCAACAACAGCTACAAATTTTCATTCCAAGAAACCATTTCATGTATCTCAATTTTCTTGTGACAGGACCGGACAGAATTAAGTATAAAATTTTACCCGAAGCATAGTATGTATTTTAATTCATAAATACGCAGTCAGCAATCTTGTAATATATCAACTAGATGCGAAAAAGTATTAAGTAATAGTGTTATTATTATTATTATTATTAAATAAGGGTATTTTTCTGATCATTTTTTGAATATTCATAGAATCTAGGGAGGAGGATACTAGCTTTGTATTTGGAAGACTACCTTTCTGTTGTAGCATACTCATGCATACTAGAATGTAAGAAGAATGACCTGGGAAGGTACAAAGATAAAAATGTGCAAAAATGTTTTTGAGGGTTTTGTTTTGCTAACTAATCACTTTTAGAATGTGTGAAGAGGAAATGACTTCTTGTGTAAATACAATTTTGGCAAAGGTCTGTGTTAATTTCCTTTCTGATACGATGATTCTGCAGTCTGAAGCAGTGAATGGTGTTGATTGCTAATGTTATAGCATAATTCTGTACAAATGATGATAAAGACTAAAAAGTGTGCGTGACTGTGAATCTTGGTCACAAGACTGTGATTAATTTCAACAAATGTTATATGCTGTATTTTAACTTGTAAAAATGATTGCTCTGTAACTTCCCTTTTTAAACTAGTGTCTGTTGGCAAGATTGCTTTGGATGGAGCCTCCAGGTTTCAACTTCCAATTTATTTTCAGTGTATTTCATTCTTTTACAAGTCTGTTTTGATTTGCATTCATTTGCATCTTATAAATCTATGACTGAAGCCTGTGGAATGTTCACACGGTGGCTTTGAAGGCAGCCTCATATCTGTGCATGTGCATCCAGAACAACCTTCACAGCGGTGATGGAAGCCACACAGCTGCTTTAATTCTTCAAGGACTTTTAATGCACATCTTCTAAATGCTTTGCCTAGCCCTGATGATTATGTCATACTACTTTATCAGAATTGGTAAGGGGATGAAAATCTGTCTCGACCTCATAGTTTTAAAGTAGAAGTAGCAACTAAAATGTTATTTATAAAATACAGTATTTTTAGATACAATTTTTCTCTGTAGGATAATTTCAGCAGGCACGGGACTCAAAATCTCCATTTGATGACCTTAAGAGAGATTGAATGTTATAATCAACCAACTGTGCTGGTTAGAATTAAACCCTAATTAAAGCACATCTGTGGGGAAGCAACAGTTTGAGGAATGTTGCCATGAACTACTTCTGGCAGAGGTCTGAAAGGCTCTGGAGGATTGGATATAGCTCCGTACCAATCCGAAACATTATATCTTGGCAAATTAAAAAGAGTTGGTTGCTAGTTGTATAAAAAGAAATATTTTTGTTCTTTTTTCTCTTGCCTTTGAATTAGACCAACATTCTACATGTTTCCCACCTCATTTATTATTATTATTATTATTTATTAGTTCGATTTATATGCCGCCCTTCTCCGGAGACTCAGGGCGGCTTACAATGCATTAAGCAATAGCCTTCATACTTTTGTATATACCTGCTTAGTAGGGCTTTCGGGGGCCCCTAAGCGGTGTTCTATTTTATACAGTCAGCTTATTGCCCCCACAATCCGGGTCCTCATTTTACCTACCTCGAAAGGATGGAAGGCTGAATCAATCTTGAGCCTGGTGAGATTTGAACTTGGAGTAATTGCAGGCAGCTGGCAACTAAGTGCTACTTTAACAGCACTTAGTCCACTGCGCCACCAAGGCTCTTTCTCTTTCTCTAAAGGCATACAGAAATTAAAAGATGCATTTTTGTGATAATTTTTAGACAGGGATATCTGAATTCACTAGAACAAATAGCTGCTGTTTTTTCCTGCTTTCTGCAAGTAAGTAAAACCAACCAAACAAGAGATCTGATCCTGGTTTACGTCACAACAAGTTTCTTATTTATAAGTCATGAACAACTCCTCTGATCCTTTTGCTTATGATCCTGAACTTGAAGGCAACAAGTGTGGATCATAGGTTTAGTTGTTAGATGACCTAGTCCAGGGATGTCAAACTCCTGGCCCACGGGCCCGATGCGTCTTGCGCTAGCCACGCTCATGCCAGGTTCAGTGAAGGGGGAAAAAGTCCCTATACGTCACGTGACGACGCCGTGATGATGTGAGTTTAACACCCTGACCTAGTCTGTCATAGTTTATGCACTATGGTGAAATAAAGATTGGGTTGTATGAAATAATATACTGCTTATCACAGATCAAGACATGCAAACAGCTGCTAATGTAAGCAAAACAAACAAATCAGGGATGTCCATCCTTGGTAATTTTAAGACCCATGGACTTCAATTCCCAGAATTCATACAGGTGGGAGAATTCTGGGAGCTGAAGTCCACAGGTCTTAAAAATTGCCAAAGTTGGACACCTCTGGTTCAAAAGAAGATGCTAAGAGTCTGATTGTGTTCTCCTGGTACCTGTTATTTTTAATATAAATGAATTATATTAAGAGGTTCAGATTTTCAAGTTAACTGTCTTTAGAATGCCCTACCAGGAAACAAGGGCATGACTGAAAATAAAATTTCTGATTTAGTTTTCCCAACTGCCTTTTTGAGAAATGCCCCAAAAGGAAAATGAGTAACAGGGAGGTGATTTTGTTGATATAGCAGTTTGTAATATTCAGAAATGTATTATGGTCTAATGTCATGTTTTTGCACACTGTGACATTTTAAAGCAACTTAAGTAAGTGATCCCATGAAAGAGAAGAATGATCAGGGGATAGAACACAAGATTCCATAGTACCCATTTGTAGATTTTTTTTTTTAATTAAGAAAATTTGAAATTGAAAATTTTGATCTTGGAAAGCTTTGCTATTGGAAATTAATATAATTCATACGGAATATGCTTAAAAAGAAAATCTCTGTTATAAGTCTCTGTCCCTCTAAACCTACCTTGCTTATTTGGAGCTGAATAATGTTCTCACCTTTTTAGCTGCTGGGCGATAATGAGAAGTTGAGATTGTAATGCAAAATCCTATTTTGGGCTCATCGGAAGAAAGATATGATACAATGTAAAAGATTGTTCATTAGATTTCAACCCTATTACAGTTGTATGCAGAGACAAAATGTATATTTCAATGAATCCTTACGTAAATGGAAGCTAACACAATCTCTACATGGTACAGAGTTAAGTACCATAGTTCATTTTAGAATAGAATAAGAGAGTTGGAAGGGACCTTGGAGGTCTTCTAGTCCAACCCCCTGCTTAGGCAGGAAACCCTACACCACTTCAGACAAATGGTTATCAAACATCTTAAAAATTTCCACTGTTGGAGCATTCACAACTTCTGGAGGCAAGTTGTTCCACTGATTAATTGTTCTAACTATCAGGAAATTTCTCCTTAGTTCTAAGTTGCTTCTCTCCTTGATTAGTTTCCATCCATTGCTTCTTGTCCTACCCTCCAAAGGTGCTTTGGACAATAGTTTCACTCCCTCTTCTTTGTGGCAACCCCTGATATTGGAACAGTGCTATCATGTCTTCCCTAGTCCTTTTTTTCTTTAAACTAGACATACCCAGTTCCTCCAATGGTTCTTCATATGTTTTAGCCTCCAGTCCCCTAATCATCTTTGTTGCTCTTCTCTGCACTCATGGCAACCAAAACTGAATGCAGTATTCCAAGTGTGGCCTTACCAAGGCATTATAAAGTGGTATTAACACTTCATGTGATCTTGATTCTGTCCCTCTGTTTATGCAGCCTAGAACTGTGTTGGGTTTTTTTGGCAGCTGCTGCACATTGCTGGGTCATATTTAAATGGTTGTCCACTAGGACTCCAAGATCACTACTATTGAACAAGGTACCACATACAGTACCTGTGCATTTTGTTTTTCTTGCCTAAATGTAGAACTTTACTTTTTTCATCATTGAATTTCATTTTGTTAGATAGCGCCCAATGTTCAAGTCTTTCAAGATCCTTCTGTATCTTGAGCCTATCTGGAGTGTTGGCTATTCCTGCCTTTGATGAAGATTTTGAAGAATACTGGGCCTAAAACAGAGCCCTGCGATACTCCACTGCATACTTCCCTCCATGTAGATGCAGTTCCATTGAGGACTACACATTGAGTGCAGTTGGTCAGCCAGTTATGAATCCATCTAGTGGTGTGCTGTCTAACCCACATTTTTCTACTTTATCTAGTAGTAGGTTATGGTCTACTTTATCAAATGTTTTACTGAAGTCCAAGTAAATTATATCGACAGCATTCCTCTAATTCCACTAATTTTGTCACTTTGTCAAAGAATGCAATAAGGTTAGTCTGGCATGATCTATTTTTGACAATCCCATGTTGGCTTTTGGTTATTACTTTGTTTCTAAGTGTTTGCTGATTCGTTGCTTGATTATCTTTTCCAGAATCTTCCCTGGTATTGAGGTCAGGCTGATAAGTCTGTAGTTTCCTGGATTATTTTTTTTCCTTTTTTGAAGATGGGAACTACATCAACTCTTTTCCAGTCCCCTGGCAATTCCCCATAAAAATAAAATAAATAAATTTTATTTATCTGCAGTTGTTTACAGATTCTGCATATAAACAGTGTGCAGGAAAGTATTTGGACATAATTTCAGTACTTCATAATATCTCCTTGGCAGAAAGAACTATTTGCAAAATGTTTCCTGTTGCAAGTTAAGATTTTTTTTTCTTGTTTTGGAAAATGTTTCTTCTTGCATAATAATTCTGCCTCAGAATTATTCTTAAGTCTCCTTGAATACACATATGTTTGAGATTTTGTTCTCATTTTCAATCGTGTTCAGGGTGGGAGGTTGAAATTTTAAAAGGTTAAGAGTTCAGGGCAGGGGTGAAATGCTCCCGGTTCAGACCGGGTCATCCGATCCGGTAGTGATGGCGGCGGGTGGTTCGGAGAACCGGTA